TGAACAATCTCTCCTTGACTGGATCCCAGTAGATAGTCGCTTGTGCGCTGTCCGACTAAACGGGACAGTAAGGACTCGGAAAGATAGGGGCACTCGCCGTTGCCTCTTCGTCATATCTGCCCATGCCCCCACTGACTGCAGTTCAGACAAGGTTAAAGATGAGCTTTACAGAAAGCTTTCAGACCTCCTCGAAAAGCTAGGCGCTCTGATATAGTATTAATGGCTGGTGACTTTAATGCTCAAGTAGGTAGACTGAGTGAAAATGAACGACACCTAGGTGGATGTTATGGTGTCGCGGCTCAGAGAACAGACAATGGTGACCGTCTGTTGCAAGTATGCTCAGATAACCGCCTATTCTTAGCAAACACTAACTTCAGGCATAAGGAAAAGCATCTGTTGACCTGGCGACCTCCAAAGTCGTCTCAACGTTGGACGCAACTAGATCACATCGCCATCAGCCACCGATGGAGGGGTTCGATAGAAGACTGTCGCTCGTTCTGTGCCACATGTTCAGATTCAGATCATGCCCTAGTGCGAGCGCGTATTTGTTTGAAGCTTACTGGGCGTAGGAAAGACACCGTAAGAAAGCCTCTTAGGGTTTTACTTAATAATAATAGGGCGAAGAATATATTTGAGGAACAACTAGAAAGATGGTTAGGCGATCATTTAAGCGATTCCCATCTGGAGGCAGGTTGGAATGATATCAAAAAGGCTGTGGAAACAACAGTGATATCTGCTAGTAAGGTTGACCATAAGGTTAGGATGAAGCTGTGGATCTCAGTAGCATCCACCGATCTGATGGATGCCCGAAAACTCATCCCACCTGGCTCTGAACATGATGAAGAACGAAGTCAACTCAGGCGCAGACTTATAAAAAGCCTACGTAACGATCGCGAACAGTGGAGGGTGGCGAAAGCAAAAGCGATGGAAAAGGCAGCGGCGACAGACAACAGTAGACAACTTTTCCGACTTATCAAGGAAACTGGTATTAGGAATCCTAGTGTAAGTGAGACTATCTCAGAAAATGACGGGACTACTATTTATTCTCAATCCAGGAGACTGGATCGATGGGCAGAACACTTTAGGGATCAGTTCAACTGGCCTCGAGCCACTCTTCGGTTACCCACGATCTCCAGTCATCCTAAATGGCAAATCGACCTAAGTCCCCCTAGTCTTATTGAAGTTGAGAAAGCGTTAGGAAATCTGAAGCGAGGGCGAGCTGCAGGTCCTGATAGACTGACCCCTGAGATATTTAAGGATTGTGGTCCAGTTTTAGCAACTAGGTTGACTGAGATCTTAGGTAGAATCTGGGAACTGGACGTAATCCCATCTGACTGGTCTCAATCACTGATTGTCCTAATCTATAAGAAAGGACAGAAGTGTTCTTCTGACAATCACAGAGGAATAAGTCTAACTAATATAGTATCTAAAATATTAGCCTCAGTAATACTTCAACGCTTAACGAAAGCTCGTGAAGAGCAAACTCGAGAAAACCAATCTGGTTTTCGACCTGGACGTGGTTGTATAGACCACATTTTCACACTACGAAAGGTCCTGGAACACAGACACACATTTAGGCGTCCTACAATAGTTGTTTTCCTGGACCTAAAAGCGGCATTTGACTCTGTGGATCGTGAGGTTCTGTGGCAGTGTCTGTCATTGAAAGGTGTGCCAAAGAAGTACATTAACCTTATACAAGCTCTCTACTCGAACACCACTGGTCGAGTGAGGGCTTATGGCGTACTATCACCGGAATTCCTCACTTCAAATGGTGTCCGTCAGGGATGTCCACTTTCTCCATTTTTGTTTAATTTTATCATAGACATACTCCTAGAAATAACCTTATCCTCGTCTGAATTTTCTGGAGTAGACTTTTACCTGCTGGCTCGCTTATTGACTTAGAATATGCCGATGACATAGTCCTACTTGGTGAAGACGCTGACAAAATGCAGTCTTCTGACTACCATAAGCAACAATGCAAGCATGTTCGAGATGCGGTTTTCCCCCTCGAACTCCAAAATGTTGCTTCAAGACTGGGTTTCATCGGCACCTGAACTAGTGATATGGAGTGAAGTAGTCGTGTAGACCACTTCACTTATCTTGGGAGTCTCATCAGTGCTGATGGCCTGGTGACTGACGAAATCTCAGCTCGGATACAGAAGGCTCGATTGGCTTTTGCCAAGTTGCGTCACTTATGGCGTAGGCGAGATATCCGTTTGCTGACTAAAGGACGAGTGTACTGCGCAGTAGTTCGCTCCGTCTTACTTTATGGCTGTGAAACATGGCCAGTCAGAGTAGAAGATATTCGTAGGTTACTGGTTTTCGATCATAGGTGTCTTCGAAGCATTGCTCGTATATCCTGGGACACCCGAGTGAGCAACGCTGTTATTAGGAATCGGGCGCTAGGTGAGAATGGCAGATCAATAGATGAAGTGGTGAAACTTCATCAGTTGAGGTGGTTGGGACATGTGTTGCGTATGCCCAACCACCGACTGCCTCGACGAGCTTTGTTTTGTAATGTGTAGGAATAGGCTGGAAGAAAGCTAGGGGCGGCCAAAACAAAACATTGCACAAATCCATGAAGTCATTGACGAGTGGACTTAGCCATGTCGGTAGTTGTCGACTACCTGGTTGGGGTCCGCGAGATGATAATAATCGATGGCTAGATACCTTGAATGACATGGCTCAAAATCGTTCGCAATGGCGCCGGTGCATTTATTCTTTGTGTTCTCTCAAATCCTAATCTTCTGGGTTCTTCAACCCCTCTAGTTTTGACTTTCTAAACTTTTCTCATTAAATCATACTTCTTGAATAATATCTTCTAATCCTAACCTCTCCGATTACTTCTAATATCTTTACTATCTCTTCTACTATTGGATTCGAATTGACAATTACATCTCTGTGCTGATGTGGTATGGCGACATGAACTGATGTACTTACGTACGAAGTTGTACGTTGCAACTGACTGATACAAAAGTATGTTGACATTACAATTATGTTAGCTGTTTATTATAAGTGATGTTTGTTAAATTCCATTTACATAAAGTGGTCATCATAGAAGGGGTGGATTAGTTATTGAAGTGCTAGAATGACAGCTAGTAGATTAAAGATTCGAATTCCTTTACACTTACTTCGCTTTGGGTAGTCAGGAAGTATCACCAGTTCTGAATTCGACTAGAAGTGGATTTCCAAACCCATGGATGGTAAATGGGATCATTACAAGCATTTTTCGTTTCAACCCATTTCAGATGGTCATCTTAGGATACGCCACTAATAAAATTATCTACTTCGGTTTTGATGCCTGGGTAATATCCTGAATCACAAACAAATAGGACAGTTATTAAAGGAGAAAATTTTCGCGCTTTCCCTCGCTATCCTGAGAACGAAATTTACAGATACAAAATACAAGCAAAACTATTTTATGCTCTATTTCTTTTCATGACTACCATAACTTTTAAACTCACTCAAGCAACTCGTCTGTGGTAAAAGTTCTGTCCTGTCAAAATAGTTAAAAGCCGCTCACAGGCCAAATTTATGAATGCTTACACCGAATAAAATTCTTGATATAGCTTCTCAACGATCGAACATTGATGCAGATCGGACAGACCAAGGATCGCTGTTTGTTGATATTTGAGCCACTTGCGAATGGTTAGATAGGACTATGCTCTGAAATTGTCTGTCGGAGTGAGCTTGACAAGTTTACAACCACGGAATCTGTAGAAAAACACTTTAGGCGAAATGAGGACGAAAAGTCACTCTTCTCCTTTATTGTATCCCAAAAGTAGGGCCAGGTCTACGACGCATCAGTGATGGCAGTTCAGCTCTTTGTGAAACCTAGACTCCCTCAGTTGAGAATGTTCTATCACCATCATGTTCCGGGAGTATCTCTGACATCTAGTGGCAACATCAGGATAGTAGTACGGAAGTTCGCTAATCTGTGCTCGGGATCAGAGTCGATAGCTTATTTGGTGTCATCATTTTGAAACACTAGCTTCATTGGTTTGAGCATGCTTTACGAATATCAAGATGAAAAATTGGAGAAGTGGTCGGTCTCTGACGCAGTGTCGGGGTATGAAAGTCATCATATGAGGGTCACCTGTTAGTTTCAATGCGACTTCGTAGATGGGGTATTGGAAATAGTGCAACTCAGTATCTTGAGACGTAATCCAAAATAGCTCACAACAGACGTCAATAGGAATCCGGCTGTAGACCTTCTGTGACGTTGATAAAGAAATCTTTCTCGGTTATATTATTTCCTAACCGAATTGTTTCTTCTCCCATACAATCCTGTTTTACTGTTTTTTTCTTATTCCTCTTTAAAAATATTTTGCTTTCCCTCTTATTACACACAAGGTTATTTTGATAATTTATGTGGAATATTTTATTTTTTGCATTCAGTTGTACAAAGTTTTATGTGGATAAGTATGCATCAAATCTAGCATGGGTCTTAAATTTAGATGGCAATATTCTACCACTTCAAGATGGAACAAAGGAGTTTATTTTCTTCCGAATAACTCACTGTATTTATAAATGACAAAGATCCATAAAATGTGAGTGGACTTGTATAAAGTTAAGCAATAAAACTATAAATGGGCACCGGGAAACAACTCTGCTCTTCTGATAAACAAATTTATGATATTATGTTCCCTAAGAGGGTGTTCATAGAGTTTACAGGTAGAAAAACAACTTTATTCTTAAGTGACATAAAATGAACGACTTGATAACGACGCCCAGAATTGACCATATTCAGTATATTTGTGTGCGTTTTAAAAATTCTACTCAAACTGTTTCGAAGCATATTTTGAAACTGTGGTTCGACGATTGAAAGTAGCACATTTAGATCGATGGACAACGGTTATTCACTGATAATATAATGTATCTTCAGCACGTATATCATAAAATACGTCAAAATGACGTAATATTTCATAAACAAAGCAATAAAACACTGCGAATAAGTAAAGCAGTGTATTATATTATATAAAAGTTTTGAAAAGTTGTTATTACCACGGTTCCGGATAATATACATTATTTGGACATTTCTTAAATGGAAAGTGAATGTTTGTCATTGAATTTGTGGAAGGGCTGTTAAAATGTGGTGTTGAAACAATTACAACATATCTTCCTCGTTCAGTGATATTGTTGTTTTGGTAATTACTCATCAATGGTAAGTTAGGAGCAATAGCAACTTCAAGATAGTTTACATTTGATAGATCCGAATAAATCTGGTTAAATGTTGATGATTCTACACGAGGAGTGAACGTTTCTGTTACGGATTCGAAAGTAAGCGTATTTCTCTCAGATATATTATGTGGGAGCAGATAGTCATCTGGACCGCGAATGAACACTACAGATGATGAAGAAAGAACAGGTCTGATAGCATGAGATTGTTCTGAAATGAAAGGGAAAAAAATCTTGGTCAGCACTCACAAAGGAAAATTGAGTTAATATAACTAAACTATAACCATAGTGAATTCAGTTTTCACCATTCACCATTCGAATTAAATATTCACACTAACGGTTTAGATGACAAAATTCCGAAAACAAATGAAGCTTTCGATACTCGATAAATATTTTAATTATAATTTAGTGTATGATGAGTTAGGACATTATAGGAGGCCATAGAATCGTTTGTTTGATAATATCTATTCATTAATTCCACCTAACTTCAGTACCTATATCTTCAAAACTCCGCCTGCAGCCTAGAGAAACAACTAATATAGGTACATAGAATGTTCCTACATTGCAGGAGACCGGTAAACCATTCAAAGCGCTGCCATAGAGAAAAGATACAACCTGGGGGTGCTTGAAATAAGTGAAACACATTGGATGCAGGTTGAACAACCCAGACTAACTTAAGGAGAGAAGCTGTTATAGTCCAGTCATGAAGAAGGAGTTGCACTGATGCTATTCAAAGAAGCACAAAATGCACTTATAGGATGGGAAACTCATGGACACAGGATCATCAGAGCCTCTTTCGAGACAGAGAAGGAGTAGAACTGGAAAGGAAGGCCCACGACAGAGTAGGCTGGAGAATGCTAATCGACTGTCATTGCTCCATTGGGAGTAATAGGCGTAAGCTAAGCTAAACCTTTCTCTTCCAACATTTACTAATTGGTCACATTTGTTGAATAATTCATGTGTCAATATGTCATGCAAGTTTACATGTTTTATGTTACTCCTATATAGTAGATATTTAAGCGATTGAAACTCATTTATTTAAACCAAGCACGGCAAGCTGTCCCGAACTTATAAAAGTATGAATTTGAATCATTTTATCGATATGATAAGAAATTGTACCATAGTTAATAATCATATAATATCGGTTTGTTCACATCACAATACCGACTGAAATCGGAAAGATGAAACATCCGATGTCAACTTTGTAGTTCTAAGGTAATTAATGCTACTAAGTCCGATCCACGTTATAGTAGGTGTCCATACCTAAAGAGTCTCGTGCTAGATTGAAACAGATCAGAAATGTTTGCCGGTTTTAAATGCATAACTAAATAAAGTCGGTCTGTGATGAAAACCACAAACTGAACAATTCCCCAAAATCTCTTTATACTAATAAAATGAGGAGTTGATTAGAAACAATGATGCTTTAGTTGATTACCTGAAGATAGTTTGTAGAAACAAACTGAACGGATAGATTGTGATTAGCAATTATGGCGTAATATTATTAACACATTATACGTTAGTCATTGTTGCATAGATGGAAATGTTTGAAAACATACAGTCTAAAATATTGTGATGAAGCATTAAGTATGAAATATTGAGTTTTAATTTCACAAAGCAGCTTTAGGATAACGTGAAAATTCAATCATTACTTGGTCACAAATTTAAGGAACAATGTTTAAAAATTGTGAAACATTACGTATTAAATAGAAGCCTACAAATCAATATTGCTACCATTACCACTATGCAGAATAGAATTAAATTGTCGACAAAATACCAAGTGTACTAAATTTATATTCACAACTTGATAACAAGTGGTTTATATCTATCAATAAATTACATATAGCCAACAGGTTAATTCTATTTACCATATAGATCGGTCAAAATTATAAACATACTTGTTATTCGCAAGGGTTTGTATTAGTTTACTATTGATTTTCAGAACTGAAATTTCGACAATCATTATTAGTAATATAGTGTACCTGAATCGACAGACACCTTAACACTATCTAGTAATTCAGTCAATCATAATCAACATACAGCTTAGTGCAACAGTGTGCATTAATTCAAGTCTTCATACTATATTGACAAGATAAAATGTGAATGAATCGAAATAATAATAATAATAATAATAATAATATCAATGATAATAAGTTACGTTACAGAAATACAACATACCTTTATTTTCTTTGCTTAGTGACTTTGAAGAACCAACCGATTTCATTTTAAGTTTCGCTTCTGGTGGCGAATAAGTTGTTTTCTAAAAGACAATAAAAGTGATTACATTGCTCAGAGTCAGTCAACTACAACGTAGAACCTCACACGTACGTATATCAGTTCAAGTTGCCGTACCACATTAACACAGCGTGATCAAATTGTCAATTCATATCCCATAGTAGTAGACGTAGTAGAAATGCTAGTAACAATGAGAAAGATTAGGGATCGAAAGTATAATCCAGTGAGATAAAATTAAAGAGAAAGATAGATCTGGTGAGGAATTCAGAAGATTAGAATTTGAGAGAATACAAAAAATGGATGCGCCGATGGATGCAAACAATTTTGAGCCATGGCATCCAAGGTCTCAGAAGAAAAAAAAAAAAAATATATATATATATATATATATCAGTTGGTTTGTTAGTGGAGATTATAGATTGCTTTCACTACTAATTGTCACTAACATTAAGGAAATTTGAAAACCAAGGCAGATTGTAAAGGTAGTGTGAAGCACATAAAGATACTACACTTCAAATCGAACTTTGTGCACATGTTATTTCAATATATTGTATAATATATTGTACATTCCATCTGTTATATTAGTTAACTTGTAATTGACTTAAAATACATCGGAACCATTCATATTGTAAATAATATTCATTACTATTCAGTTAATCATGTTTGAATTATAACCAGTTGAATTTTATAACTCAGTTATTTCAAAACATCAATATATGCTTAACCGTACAAGTAAATTTATGCGAACCGTTTCCCATTCTTCCTTTTAATTCATTTCAAATTTGGTTGAGAACACTTTGATAGTTATAATTTTACTTCTGTAGGTGTTTCAATTTTAATCATAGGCGCTAGTCAAAAATGAGAGGATTACTATTATGTATTATAATATAAGGAATTAAACGATTCCTACTTGTAACACACTAGTTGGAAAAACCACTTAAGAATATATTTCAACTGCTTTTATGGAAATTTATTGTAAACTTATAAACAGGAGTTCAAAAAATAACAGCACAAAAAAAGACAACAAGATTCAAAATTATGCACAGAAAGCTTTGGACCTTAAATGTTGTTGACTAGTTCAGCCAACTGTGTGAGAAAAATACAAAAATACCTGTAAAGTAGCATTTAGCCACATGAGAACTGACTATAGGAACTTTATTTTGTAACTAGCCATGCTAATGCCGTTGTTCATTGGACAGAAGTGTTTATTCATAGCTCCTCTTTCCCTCTCTATCTCTGAAGAATATATATATATATACATATATATATATATACAACAACCGACAGCCAAAGAAGTAGTATCATGAAAGGATGACAGTTACATCTACATAATGATTACTAATTAAATTTCTAAGATAAATTAAAAGAATTATTGATTATGACGAAAACCTACACGATCTAAACACAAATCCTGTATTGGATGCAGATATTTCATGATAGACGTCATATTTCGACTAAGATGTAAGAGTGAGTTTATTCGTTTCTCAATGCACGAAACTAGTCTTTTGGGATGTTTGCATCGAAATATGAAAAGTGCTGGACCTAAAAAAAAATCACAATTCGAAAACATTCAAAAATATCAATAACGAAAGTAGCTAATATAACTTACATTTAACAACTTAGTCATATTGAATAAGTTCAAAAAGAATTACATTAGTAAGATTTGAATTTCGAATGAGTAATGCATACACAGATAATCCAAATAAACACAATAGTGTATCAGTTAAAAATGATATGTCTTGTAAATGATGTCCAAAATTCACCGAATAATAAATTTTTTATTATGCATAAGAAAGAAAGAAAGATGCAACACAACATGCACCAACCAAATCACTCTTGATGGAGATGCTTTCGAGGACGTTAACAACTTTACATATCTGGGCAGCATCATCGACGAGAAAGGTGGATCGGATGCAGATGTGAGGGCGCGGATTGGCAAAGCAAGGGCTGCATTTCTACAGTTGAAAAATATCTGGAACTCCAAACAACTTTCAAACAAAACCAAAATCAGGATTTTCAATACAAATGTCAAGACAGTTCTACTGTATGGAGCGGAAACTTGGAGAACTACCAAAGCCATCATTCAGAAGATACAAGTGTTTATTAACAGTTGTCTACGCAAAATACTTCGGATTCGTTGGCCAGACACCATCAGCAACAACGAACTGTGGGAGAGAACAAGTCAGATTCCAGTGGAGGAGGAAATCAGGAAGAAGTGGTGGAAGTGGATAGGACACACACTACGAAAAGCACCCAACTGCGTCACGAGACAAGCCCTCACATGGAACCCTCAAGGCAAAAGGAAAAGAGGAAGGCCAAGGAACACACTACGCCGAGAAATAGAGAAAGATATGAGAGGAATGAACAAACATTGGACAGAACTGGAGAGGGAAGCCCAGGACAGAGTTGGTTGGAGAAAACTGGTGGGCGGCCTATGCTCCATTGGGGGTAACAGGCGTAAGTAAGTAAGTAAATAAGAAAGTTGTAAGTGGACAAAGTACAAATACATACATAAAGTAATAAAATACTCGACATTTACATAAAGATAACAACAACTACATCTAATCTATGATTTTCTGTCTGTTTAAAAATAATTCATCCAATACTTGTGGACATCATCTCAAAGATAATAACTATTCAGGGAATAAATTGTGCTTGGATCATATCAACAATCGATGATTTAACAAACTGATAACCTATTTTAAACTGAATATCCTTGATATTTTTTTCTTAGTTTAGTCTTACATCTACTAGTGTAGTAAGCCTAAGAAAACACTGATCTCAGTTTATGAAAGTCCGGAAATTAATTTACTGACTTATTGCACACAACACCAGTGTTGCTCAGTGGGTCTTTATACCATACACAAATAACACTCCAAAGGAACCAATGATAAGAAATATGCAACATTATTAAAATGGACATCTTCAGTGTTTGTTTCACCACTGATGCAATATCTGATGTAGTTATTTTGGAACCTTATCGTATACAGTTTGATGAAGGCTGAACAGTTTAAATTTGACTAAGGTTTTGGAAAATCTAGCGATTGATATTACGCTACTTCTGAGGTTTGTATTTGAAACTTGAACGAAGAATAGCTCATTTGTATTTTTTATCTGTACCTATTAGAAAATCGCTAACTGCCAGAAATTTAACTGTATCTAACTTTGCAACTACATAAAGAACTGAACCAGAGTGAAGACTAACTTTCAATCCATTTGGAAATTTTTGAATATCAAAGTATTTAGTAAACACAACAAAAAATGTAAGTTATTTTGATAGCCTCAGCCTATTTGTTCCACTTATATTTATATCTTTCTTGATGATCTTTATGTCATTCAGTAATTTTTCTGGTTTTCAGTGTGGTTATACAAATGGAAGAATATACTTGTACGACATTCTACATTATCGTGTTCATTTATATCTTTCAGAATATTTTAAAATATACCAAAATCACTTAATAAACTACTAGATGTTCTGAATCATGAAAATATAATTTACTTCGATTGACATTGTGCAAATTAAAAAGTAAAAAATTAATGTACACTGATATTGAAAGCATAAAGAAAAATTTAAAGGATATAAAACCACGAAATTAAAATAATCGGCCTTCAACCGACTATTTTGATTTTCGAATTTAAAGTAATTCACTTTAAAAAACCAGAGTTCTCTCTTAAAATAGGAATAAAAACTTGCCTGCAAATCAAAACATAATGGAGTTAATGAAAAGAACCTTGAGAGAATTAGGTATTAGGCAGGATCTTCTTAAAAAGTAAATAATAGGTGTCAATTAAAAAAATGGATAAACAAATGACAAAAAATAGGCAGATGTCAGGTTTATGTTCCAACATTGTTTAAAATCGAGATAACTGATAAGAGAGGTAAAATAGTGCAAATAACTGTTAACATAGATCAAAATAGATCTTGATTAAAAAATGGCTACGCTTGAAAGCGTGAAATATAAGTTAAAATATCACTTATCATGCTCAACACCTAAAGGTAAACGAAAATATGAGTTTGTATGATACCGACGGTAGCTGCTATCTCGAGGTGGTGGTCTTGCTTTTTGTCTTGCTTTTATATCCAAACTTTGAGAAACAGAAGTAACTTAATTAGAGATCAATACGTAAAATCTTATAGACTGGTTGCGATCGAACATATGTACTTACATTGATTTTACTCTAAATACTGAACACAGATTTAGTAATAAACTCCTCCAGTCTTTTGCCGTAATAATTTCTGGTAAACTTGTTTTTGTAGTATCTTGAGGTTAATAAAATTAAAATAATTCTTTACTACGCTACGGCTAAATAACCAACCAACTTAGTTGATGAAATTGGCGGTGTATGTGAGCTGTTGCAAATAAAGCATGGAGGGATGGAATGAAGTTAGATAAAACTTACCTAGTTTGCATCGACTACCTGACTGAAATAAAAATAAAGATTTACTCCTTCCATACCATCGCAAACCGTGAAGTGGCCAGAATAGAACAACAGTTTGTTTATTATTCACATATTGGAATTTAATATCGCAAGTTCTTACTATTATTAGACCATGACAAATCTCTTTGAATTCATGATCTAAAAGACTAGCACTAAAGCATAACATTGAGTTTCTTTTGTCGAATATAGATTCACCAACTGATTGTACAAATTGAATCAGAGGCTTCAGTGGACTAGACGGTAGGTGAGTTTCTGCTTTAATTCTCATCTTATATTCGTCAAACAAACACTGGAGGTCATCAGATTTATTAGCACTATTAATAAGACCCATTTCAACGAATAATTATGTTGACAATGTTTTTTCGGCTATAAAATGAAAGTCTGTGAAAGAAAGCAATCGCTATGAGAAAGGAACATTTATTTGTTTTGCAAAAATGGGATATCAAATTTAAAAAAACCAGAACAAATAAGAATAGTTTAGTTCAAAATTAGGCATAAAATGTGTACAACCGTTTGACAACCATTAGTGAGGACATCTGAAAATTCGCAGACTATTATAGAAGTTCTGGGTTTCACAGAATCTAACTAAGACGGTGATGAAAATTAAAATCTGTTGAACGCCTGTTTAAACCTTTGGGATTAACATTAATTGAAATAAGTCTCCAGCGGAAAAGTACAATAATAACGGGCTTTTTCTTTGTTGTTCTCTCGAATTAGCAACAAAATCGAAATTAAGGATACACGAACTCTAGAACTGCACTCGAAGTTTCAAATGAGCCAGGTGATAGTAAATCTGCATTCACTGAGAAATTGTTGCTCATTGCCTGTATTATGAATATTTTAACTCAGAAAGATATCTCAATCATCACACCAATTTACAAACGACAACTCGATATTTCAATATTTATCAAGAATGACTTGTCACTGAGTCGTAAATAGTGCAAACCTATGGGGAAAACCTTAATTCTAACTGCAAACATTGACAATAAGTTATAGTTAACATGAGCAAACGTTTAATTATATCCGCTAATTTTAGAATAGCTGAACAGTTAGTCAGTCAGTCAGTTACAACGTAGAACTTCGCACGTACGTATATCAGTTCAAGTTGCCGTGCCACATTAACACAGCGTGATCAAATCGTCAATTCAAAGCCTATAGTAGTAGACGTAGTAAAAGTGCAAGTGACAATGAGAAAGATTAGGGATCGAAAATATGATTCAAGGAGTATAATCCAGTGAAATAAACTTAGAAAGAGAAAGATAGATCTGATGAGGAATTCAGAAGATTAGAATTTGAGAGAACACAAAGAATGGATGCGCCTGTGCCATTGCAAACGATTTTGAGCCATGACATTTGAAGTCTCTGACTACTATTGTCTCGCGGGCCCCAAACAGGTAGTCTACACCTATTGACATAGCATAGTCGAGTTGTCAGTGACTTCATTGATTTGTGCCATGTTTTGGCCTGGCTGCCCTTAGCTTTCTTCGAGCCAACCCCTATAACACGAAACATCGCTCGTCGAGGCAGTCGGTGGTTGGGCATTCGTAATACCTGTTCAAACCACCTCAACTGAAGAAGTTTCAATACTTCTTCAAGTGATCTGCCGTTTTTACCTGGTACTCGGATTTTGCTATAGGACCTGTAATCCAACAAAACATCTCGTAAGTTCTTCATCCTCTTGAATTGTTCTCACAGCACCTCACTACCACGGAGACAAGATATAGCGCTTTTGGTCGAGAGCTAACAGCTTACTGCGCCATCAAAAATTTTCGGCACATAGGTCACGATCTCATCCTATTCACCGACCATAAACCTCTAACGTATGCTCTGCATACCGAGTCTGATCGTTACTCACCACGACAGTAGAGATATTTAGAATATATCTCACAGTTCACGACAGACCTTCATCATATTAAAGGCGAGTCAAACTATGTTGCTGATGATCTGTCACGTATTCAAATAAATGTAGTTACTTCACCAGTGCCTGATCTCCACGCCGTGGATGCCGCCCAAGTAAGCGACCCCTTCTGTACAGAAGCACAACATTCCACATCCCTTTAGTTCAAGGACGTAATCCTAGCCGCTAGCTCAGGTACTATCCTGTGTGATACACCTACTGGTCTTCCCCGACCCATCGTACCCTCCACTTGTCGTCGTCTCGTCTTCGTTGCTTTTCATGGACTGTATCATCCAGGTATGGCAGCCACATTACACCTCATCGCTGCACATTACGTCTCGACGTCCATGAATAGAGATGTTCGTAGGTGAGTGAAGCAATGCTCCCAATGTCAACGATTAAAATATATAGGCACGTAGCTGCTCCTATCGGCACGTTTTCTACGCCTTAACATTAGAGACCCGATGCCAGAACCATCAAACTCACTAGCATGATCCATATAATTCGTTCAGAATCCATGCTAGATGATTCGGAGACCTCACCTGATGTCAAAATCATCAGACAATACTGCCTATGACTTCCGATGCGATGCACTTTCCGGCTCTAAAATACGAGGTACGAACGAGACTACCGTCTCACGATCTGGTCGCCAGGCACATCTAACTGCAGGCTTTCGCAACTAGCCTCTCAACAATCGGGTAAACAAAAAAGTGGTTCCCTTTGATAAATTTGAACAGAGAAATGAGAAGACATATTTTGTGAGATAGTACCATTTCATGCTTTCTCGTCAGTCACGTACAAGCAACATGTTATTCGTGTAAATACAGTTTTGAAGATAAGGTCAAAATTTCTTATTTAGCATGACATTCACTCACTAGAACCATGGTAAACAAAGGTCAACACACAGTTGTTTTTGAACACATAAAGTTGGACTTTTCCGACCAACCAAATAGCTTCGAGTAGTTTGAGTGTGTGTGGGTTTTGATGACATGTCACAACTCTAAAGGCTGATTTTGGATCAATTTGATGACCACTCATCATTGGATGTTTTGCAATGGACGAGGCTGGGTTTTTTGATCGATCTTGAGATGACGGGCTAGGTGGATGAATCATGGATTTGATTAACCATCTTGGAATATGTTCCCCTATCCTGTCCTCCAATCGGCGATCTGACCTACCCAAGTAACTTTCTCCGCAGTTACATGTGAATTGGTAAATACAGTGGGATTTGGACTGAATCGGTCTTGGAGACTTGGTTGGGGTAACTGAGATCGATTGAGTTGTTGTGATAAGGCTCAGATTAGCTGCACTGAAGGTCTTTTTTATTGCAGCTGCAGTCTGTTTGGTTGTAATTTTCATGCAATGATCACCCTTGAAAGGTAACTGTAAGTACACTGGTTTCTTGGGCACATCAGTTGCTATCAGATTCGTCGTAGTTGTGTTCTGATGACCAGTAAACGTTTCGGGATATCCGTTTAATTAAAGTGTCTCAGTAATAAACTTGAGTTCGTCGTCCAATGTATCAACAGTGCAGATCCTACTTGCTCGAGCGAATAAAGTTTTGACAACAGAACGTTTATACTGTATGGGGCAGAAACTAGTGAAGTGGAGGTACTGTCCCGACCAGGTGGGTTTGCGGTGTACTTTTCGTCTGATTGATCCGTCTGAATGGCAATGGAGCAGGATATCGAGGAAAGCTAGTTCATTATTCTTTTCTTCCTCATAAGTGACTTTCAGATTCAGGTGAATCGCATTAAATAAATCATTGACTTCATTAATATCTGTAGAATGTGGTAACATGACAAGAATATCGTCGACATATCGTTTGTAAAGTGTAATACCATCGATGAAGTGACTCACTTGCCCTTCTATCATTCCCATGAATATGTTTGCTAAAACAGGTCCGGGAGGGCTTCCCATAGCCACTCCATCGATTTGCATACACGCTTTACCTTGGAAATAGAATTTTCTGTCCTTTGTGCACAGCAAAATTAGATCTCGAAGATAGGTAGTAGGAATGGGTATTCTTATGTTGTGTGAAGTTATGAAATCACAAATAAATTCCACAGTTTCTTCGAGAGGCACATTTGTGAACAAAGAGTTTGCATCGAAAGAACACATCCGACTATTAGAAATATTCAAGTGTTCCAAGGTTGGGAGAAGTTCAAAAGAATCAATGAGAGTATTTGTCGACAGTTGTTTACAAACAGGATCCAAAATTTCTTTCAACCACTTTGCTAGCTTATGGTATGGTGAATTTATCATGGACAAAATTGGTCTCATAGCTGTTCTAGGCTTGTGTAGTTTCGGCAAGCCATACATTTCTGGTGTGCATGTAACAATGGGCTTGAGCATTTTATAATGGGCCTCGGTGATAAAACCATGAAGCATGAGTAGATGCAGTTCTCGGCATATCTGTTTTTCGACCAACTTCACGTTATCGATCTGTGAATCTGATTTAAATTTAGCAGAGTGTGAGAAGATCACGTTCATTTTCGTTACGTAGTCATCTACAATAACAGTCTCCGAACCAGACAAAAGTTCTGGTGTAGTAGTCATGACTACACTACACTACTACACCGGATCCTTTGTCTGGTTTAGAGATTGTTATTGTAGATGACTACGTAACGAAAATGAACGTGATCCTCTCACACTCTGCTAAATTTAAATCAGATTCACAGATCGATAACGTGAAGTTGGTCGAAAAACAGATATGCCGAGAACTGCATCTACTCATGCTTCATGGTTTTATCACCGAGGCCCATTATAAAATGCTCAAGCCCATTGTTACATGCACACCAGAAATGTATGGCTTGCCGAAACTACACAAGCCTAGAACAGCTATGAGACCAATTTTGTCCATGATAAATTCACCATACCATAAGCTAGCAAAGTGGTTGAAAGAAATTTTGGATCCTGTTTGTAAACAACTGTCGACAAATACTCTCATTGATTCTTTTGAACTTCTCCCAACCTTGGAACACTTGAATATTTCTAATAGTCGGATGTGTTCTTTCGATGCAAACTCTTTGTTCACAAATGTGCCTCTCGAAGAAACTGTGGAATTTATTTGTGATTTCATAACTTCACACAACATAAGAATACCCATTCCTACTACCTATCTTCGAGATCTAATTTTGCTGTGCACAAAGGACAGAAAATTCTATTTCCAAGGTAAAGCGTGTATGCAAATCGATGGAGTGGCTATGGGAAGCCCTCCCGGACCTGTTTTAGCAAACATATTCATGGGAATGATAGAAGGGCAAGTGAGTCACTTCATCGATGGTATTACACTTTACAAACGATATGTCGACGATATTCTTGTCATGTTACCACATTCTACAGATATTAATGAAGTCAATGATTTATTTAATGCGATTCACCTGAATCTGAAAGTCACTTATGAGGAAGAAAAGAATAATGAACTAGCTTTCCTCGATATCCTGCTCCATTGCCATTCAGACGGATCAATCAGACGAAAAGTACACCGCAAACCCACCTGGTCGGGACAGTACCTCCACTTCACTAGTTTCTGCCCCATACAGTATAAACGTTCTGTTGTCAAAACTTTATTCGCTCGAGCAAGTAGGATCTGCACTGTTGATACATTGGACGACGAACTCAAGTTTATTACTGAGACACTTTAATTAAACGGATATCCCGAAACGTTTACTGGTCATCAGAACACAACTACGACGAATCTGATAGCAACTGATGTGCCCAAGAAACCAGTGTACTTACAGTTACCTTTCAAGGGTGATCATTGCATGAAAATTACAACCAAACAGACTGCAGCTGCAATAAAAAAGACCTTCAGTGCAGCTAATCTGAGCCTTATCACAACAACTCAATCGATCTCAGTTACCCCAACCAAGTCTCCAAGACCGATTCAGTCCAAATCCCACTGTATTTACCAATTCACATGTAACTGCGGAGAAAGTTACTTGGGTAGGTCAGATCGCCGATTGGAGGACAGGATAGGGGAACATATTCCAAGATGGTTAATCAAATCCATGATTCATCCACCTAGCCCGTCATCTCAAGATCGATCAAAAAACCCAGCCTCGTCCATTGCAAAACATCCAATGATGAGTGGTCATCAAATTGATCCAAAATCAGCCTTTAGAGTTGTGACATGTCATCAAAACCCACACACACTCAAACTACTCGAAGCTATTTGGTTGGTCGGAAAAGTCCAACTTTATGTGTTCAAAAACAACTGTGTGTTGACCTTTGTTTACCATGGTTCTAGTGAGTGAATGTCATGCTAAATAAGAAATTTTGACCTTATCTTCAAAACTGTATTTACACGAATAACATGTTGCTTGTACGTGACTGACGAGAAAGCATGAAATGGTACTATCTCACAAAATATGTCTTCTCATTTCTCTGTTCAAAAATATAGGATATAGGAATTTATCCTTTTCTACATAGTTGCTATACCTGTTTCTTTTCTTGGATATTTTTCTTTACCCTGAGCTTACGTCTCTGACCTTCTAGCATCGTCGACTTTAATCAATCTCCAGAACCTATGGCTTGATCACTCACGCCCTCGTCATTGTATTCGGTTGACATTCTGTTTCCGAATTTGTCTGGCATACGTACGATCCGGAAGCCTGTCATTATGGTCGCTTTTGATTTCTCGGCTCAACGTGGTTTCGTCCTACCTCTGCAGAGATTTCTAGTACGGACCCCCACGAACGCCATCTTCAAATTCTGGATACAGACCACTTTCCTGTGGCGCGCCAACTCGAGCAGCAATTATGGCACTTGACTCCTGGTACTGTTATACGTAAAAGACCGACGGTGACGACTCGAGGGTCATTGACCGCTTCCTGTTTGTCAACCCTTCCGCCCTACAATCGCACGTTTGCCGATTAGTCCCATCAGCGAAGCCCCTAAGTATCGAAAGTGTAGACTCTTTCTAGCGGGGGGCTGCTGTGGTGACTCCACTGTTAGGAAGAAAACCTGATTGATTAAATAGAAACATTTGTTATTATAACCAATTTAACAGTGATTGTTTTACTGAACTCTTTATTTATTCGTACTTTTGTATACACACTTTCCGCTTACTTGGTTGCCAGCTAAAACTGGACCCCTATGTTTTAAAAAATCTGGTTTCTTTGATAAGTCTGAATAGCTGTCTACTGTTACTTATCATCGTTGCCTTTTCATCCCTCTCGCTTTTACTAACCACCACTGTTTGTGGTCATTGCGTAGGCTTAATATTCGCCTGTTCAGAGCCAGATGGAATGAGATTCCGAGCATCTGTCAGTTTAATAGATATCGCTTATTCTACCTACTTGAACATTCAAGTCACCAGCCACTATAAATTTTTTGATTAAGGTTTGAAAGCTTTTACCTCTTCCGAGCTGCAGTCGGTGGGAGTGTAGGCAGTGACAACAAAGAGACAACGGCGAGTTTCCTATCTTTTTGATTACTTATTGACCCGTTTAGTCGGACAGCGTATAAGCAACAATTTACTAAGATCTAGTCTAAGAAGGCTAGTTCTTCCCTAGGGCTCCATGCTATACCCACATCAGCGAGGCCACGGAAAGCAGCAGCAAGTGACCAAAGATCTATGTAATGTCAAATCTCTAATAATAAAAAGGACTGTGTAACTGATTTACAAACAGATGGAAGTAATTTTGCTTTGGAGATAAGCGCTAGTCTAAATAAAATGAAAGAAATAAACTAAAAAGGCGCACCCTATCACCGAATGACGACTTCTAGCATATCATGAAATACTAAAGTATTCGTGACCGAGGTAAGTTGCGAAAATGCAAATAATGTATACTTGATTAAGAAAACCCTTAAGGTTTTATTAATGCTTACGGTTAATAAGGATATGCGAAGGAAATTTTCATAGTATTTTCAGTCTTTACCAGCTTAAAACTGTAATGGTAAAACCAATTTATCATTAAAAGTAGACCACAATGGAGACGGCCTATAAGAAGGTTCTGCAGATTGTTGTCACTGACACTAACATAACTTTTAAAATTTCTCCCACAAAAAGGTAGGTGCATTACCAAAGGCGTTTCAGTACTTCTAAAGGGATATCAAAGTTCACTTAGCCCTGGAAACTAGCTCTTGAATAAAAAACCATTGATTTAATAACGATAAAGTTGAAAATCGCTACTAATAAGGCATGCTTGGAGAGATGGATAGTATTTTAGTAAACGTGTTACATATGAAGTAACCCATTCAGAGAAAGAAGCTGAAGTACGTGAAAACAATGGGATGTCAGAACAATTTATTGTATTAAGACAGCTATTGTGAAGGCGTAACAAGCCTTCATAGAGTTGGATAGTCTTTACCTGGAATTTCGGCTTAACATTAAACAACAAACTGCTTAAGAGCAAAAATGAGACCTAACTTTCGGAATAGTCTCATATAATTTTGTTTCTCAACCCGCAAACGCTGATGAAAGAGAGTGGCGAAGAATAATTACTGTTGATACAAATTCCGTTTGAAGGTGAGACTTGGAGCATAGTACACAACTTAGGCTTTTACAAACAGAACTTTGAATATATGATTTCCTCTTTCCAAGTTTTGATGCAGACGTATACACTTAGTCTTGGAAAACTGGCTAGGTTGGAGGTGCAAGAAATCTGAGAAAACATTTCAGTGGTGTTCCTCACGAGACAATATTGCTACGCAATGCATGGAGAAAAAATTGTTCCAGTCCGACATAAACCAAGTAACCAGAGATATGGGCTTTAAGACGATGCTCGTCTTTATGTAAATTCTGAGTGCTCTTCTTAAGAACTGGTCTTTAAAAATACGGAAAACTGTCCGAGCACTTTGAACGCTGAAACACATTAATGAGAATAACAACCAAACCTACCTATATCTAATTGTCAAGGTCAAGCGGTACAACGCCAAACCTCGCGCTTGCACACAAAATTATGCAAGACCGATACAATCAGTGCTTTACGAATTTTTTGTATTCCATCTGGCCTTTACTAAATTAAGATTTATGTGACAGATATACGAACCTCTCAGTCCCTGACGATTCCTGACCGTCTACCAAATCATCGTGTAGTTTGAATTCTTTAAATCAAGGAGATTGTTCGGTCGCTGATTCTCAGCGACGAAAAAGGTTCTATTACTTAAAACCCTTATTTATTGAACAATGATGTACTTTTGCTGTCTACTCACCATCAGTGGACCACTTTGTTTCTCTTCACATTGCGTTCTGAATCCAACACAGCATACTGTCCTCCAATAACAAATAACTTTTTCAAGTTAGATTCCCAAAACTCTCTCGTCACAGTCCCCAATTTTGTAATTTATTCCTGAAATCTTGAATATTTGCGCCAAAGACGCTCAAATTACTTTTCCCCCTCGGAAAATCTTTGACTGACATTGGTTGATAAATTACTCACCAAGGGCGTTTCTATCACTGTATAAATAAGCTACAGTTGTATGCTTGTGAACCTCAATCATTGTGGATGCCTGTAGAACAAATAAAGCATGACATTGGCACACCAGTCAATATATCCTAATTAGGGAGATTTTACAACATATATAAAATCAGAAGTCTGAATTTTTAATTCAGCAGTGTTGGTGTCCAGAATGACCGGGGAGGTTTGAATAATTTATCTTCTCAGAATAAACCACCTAGAAGTCACACACCCCACTAGGAAACAACTTCAACTCCGTGTTCCCTTACCTATCCTCTCGAATAATCTTGAAACATGGCTTCACGATCACGGAGTTTTTCGATTGCTTTAAGACGATCGTCCTCTGAAAATTTTGCAGTGAAATCCCTGAACGAAGAATTTCAACATGTTCATAATACAGATGATATCTTTTTTGCTCTAAAGTTGTTGTCAAGCCCGTTACGCTATTGGAATATTTGAGGTTTGTTTATTTAGATTTAAATAGGATTTACAGCGCTTGTTCGTCTGTGATGAAGAGCCAATCTTCCCTTTTTCAGATCTTTGTTTATTGTGACTGAAGACGGACAAGAAGACTAACAACTAGAATTAACGACATGCTTAGGTGATAACATTACTTTACAGACCCATTGCTTTTTGTCTAAAGGTGATCAAGGTTTATGATTGGTAAAAAGCTTTGTACTATTGTAAAACCATTTGTGATTTCAACCCTAAAAATTGAAGAAAAATATGCAGAAACGTATTATGAAGTCCGGTATTATTTGCACTTCCTTTGAAAGAAAGGTCCGTCACAAAATAACGTTTTAGGTCACAGAGTGCAGGTCATGCAGGTCACTGTATTTTGACTTGTCTCCTTCCTATCACCTCAGGTCTCTCGTTTATTTTACTCGCACTAACGCTAAATGCCTAGTGGCCACAGGTTTCTAAGTTTCCATCGTATCGACTGGTAGCAGCAAACCTCAAGCTACGATGCTATAAACACGCGCAGCGAACGGCGAAAGTCATTCCTACACGACAGTCAACCATCGACCTGGATAATCGATGACAGTATCTATGGAAGTTCATCCTGGCTGATATCCCCATAACCATAGTCAGTATCGATCGCCTACAATTCTATGAATTGCTATTCCATTCACGTAGGCTGCTGTTGATTGATACTTCGTCGAATAACAGATGTGTACCAAATCAGTAGTGTGTTATTTTCGCGCGATCATTTATTTGATAAATTCCCCCAAAGTAACAAAACCGAGGAGATTCAACTAGTGATTAATTATGCGGTAAGCCACATCGTCACCTGCAAACCACCAGTGACGGCAAAACCTCACCAATTGGCACTGGACAAATTAGTTTTCGTCAAGTATGAGTTTGACAGTTTACTTGCTATATGTATGACTTTGTCTTTCTCACAATCGTTAAGACTCCCCTCTCCATTCGGTTCGCAAGGCAGATGGCATTAGTTGAAGACCATACTGCGATTACAGAGTAGCAGCGGCAAATATCCAATGTTCCGCCTCCGAACTTGTATACGGCACGAAATTGCATCTACTTGGGGAATTTTTCACACCATGTAAATCATATAGCATCCAGTGACTATTTGCGTAGATGCGAATACTGCCTCCGGTATGAACTCGAATATAACATCGACGGGTTGCTCTCCCTCGATAATTATTTATCTGTCCATATGTTTTCATTCGAGTAGATTCGGTACGGAGAACTTCACAATAACCTCACGAATGACATTTTTACGTGAACTCTCGAAACGAGGTTGATGGACATAGTAAGCATTGATCGTTTCGAACCAGCACACGTCAATGACAATGCCTATCCAATAAATCGAGATTCAATGCTGGGCCCCTCCAACTCACTAGCGTGACCTCTATTTCTCCTTCGGATCCGGCACTAGATACATCAGAAACCTCATCCTCACGCCCCAGTCAACTGCTCGCGTAATCTGCATTATCTGCGGATGAGACTTCAGCAGACCACGCCACTTTTGACCGCGGATGAGATTGCAGTCTCAAGCTCTCAAATGCGAGGTATGAACGAGACCACCATCTCACGTTTCGGTCGCCAGGTACTTCTGCCTGCATGCTTTTTCGGTCAGCCTCAGCGTGCAACGTTTAAGTTTAGGATTATGCCCCTTAATAGATGCCTGCTACACGTTTCTCATTTTCTTTGATTTTTTTATCTTGAGCCTCTGTTGCCAATCATCTCCCTGCTTGTAGCGTTAACTTCAGTCAACCTTGGCGAAAGCTTGCTTGATCAGCCACGCTCTTGTCAGTGCTCTCAGTCAATGTTTTGATTCCGAAAATTTCTGGAGGGAAGCTGATATATCTGACCAGTGTTCATGATGGTTGGGCGATAACCTCAATCTACCTTTATCTGTGGGGCAGAACATTTTGTTTGCTCACGTATCCTTACGATACAGCAGGATGTCACTGATCGATGATATTGATGTTACTTTTTCTTTTTAACAACGTCTACGACTCACATTCGTAACCCTGAACTGATTTGACTCCTTACCAAGAAATCCTGTTACGAGCAGATCTTGAAAATTATGACTTGTCTTCATTATTCTACATAATTGCAAGTGTATAGTTTTTAGAATCCTCAATGGATTTTGATTTCGGAAAAACACTTACAAAATGGATTCTGCATGTTTAGTGTTTTAACATAAAAAAGGTCTGACTAATCACATATGATAATTAGGAGTATTTGTATTTAAGGATCAAGAACTACGAGATGAGCACAAACGAATGTACTGTATTTAGAATTCGAAATCAAGCATTCAAAAAAATAAAGAAGTCACTAGTTCATTGAAGCACCACATCCGCCACAGCTTAAATTGGAATCCAAGTGTCTGTAATCAATTGTACGTCTTCTTCTCAAATTCATCCTGTGTCTGTCCGACAGTGTATTGGATAAAGACTCTGTATTATCTAGAATGCTCTCATTATTATTAGAATTAACAACCGAAATTGGAACAGACTCACCTGGTTCCTGGAATTGTATTTGATCAACATGTCGATTGTGTGTACTTAAGTCATTGATATCTAGAAATCGCACCATAGATTTCCCAACATTCTTCAGAACAATCCCCATGGATGGTCGAAGATCATTGCCACGATAATATGTAACTTCTGCAGACTCCAAACATCTCATATTCGACCGAAGATTTCTTCCTTTTAATAGCTCTGATGGAGTCTCTTTCGTCACCGAATGTCTGGCATTTCTATATTGCAGCTCATTAAATGTTGAGGCGGCAATATAATCAATAGCAGTTTTCAACGTCCTCACAAACTTTGCTGCCTGACCATCGGAACAAGTTTGTCAGGGAGCAGTAAACAGATGTTTGCACCCTATACCATTTAACTAGGTAGTGACTGCATCTGCAGCAAAACGAGAGCCGTTATCAGTCACTAACACCATTGGAACCCCTTCTCGACTAAACACCTTTGTTAATGCTTGAATTGTGAAGTTAGAATTTGGTGAAGTTGTGAAAAAAACTTCAGGCCACTTTGAAGAAGAATCAGTGACTACAGGCGCATAGTATTTGCCAAGAAACGGGCCACAATAATCTGCATGAATTCTCTCTCAGGCCTCAGACGATACTGGCCATGGAGTCCACTTCGAATGCTGATTTTTCAGCTTATGACACTTTTCGCAATTCTTTGCTGTACGACAAATATCTGCATTTATCTCTGGCCACCAACACGTGAGCCTCGCCAAGGACTTTATTTTCTCAACACCTAAATGTCCACTATGAAGATCTTCCAGGACAGCTTTACGCAATGAAGGAGGAATAACAGCACGATAATTTAAACACAGAATACCGTCAGTAGTAGTGTATAGCTCATCTCGCTTTGAAAAATTAGATAGGGAATCTGCATTTCGGATTAGCATTCTAACCTTTCCGTATAGCATTAAATATACATACAAAGTTTCTACGAGTTTCTCTAATGAGATCTGGACGTTTCACTGGTAAAGGTTGCACCAACAAACAGTCTGAAGTATTAACAGGTTTTATCTTGTAATGGCTGTCGAGAAATGTAGTCACCATGTTGAATTTGTTTGGTACTGCTGTGCAGAACCGTATAGTCGTAGGCACTCAAAGCAATACTCCACCGTTGAACCATAGCAGCTGAGGCACGTGCTAAGGATTTTTCAGGATGATAAATAAACTGCAAAGCCTCATGATCAGTAACAATAGTGAATTCCTTTCCGAATAAATATTTATGAAGTCTTTTAACAGCCCAAAACACAGCTAATGCCTTTCGCTGAGTCTGTGAATAGCCTTGTTCAGTAACAGTAACAAATAACTGGCCTACCTTCCTGTTCCTAAACTGCGCCAGTACCCACAGGTGATGCATCAGTGATAAGCCCAGACTGTACACTAGGGGAGTAAGTTCGAAGAACAGCATCACTTTGAAGAAACCTTAGTAGACTACGTAAGCACGACTCTTGTTCCTCACCCCATTCGAATGAATTGGATGTCAAAATATTAAATAAACAATTTGCACGACAAGAAAAATTAGGAATAAAACGGGAATAGTATTGAAGAGCACCGACTAGTGAACGTAGTTCTGTAAGATTTTTTGGAGACGGTGCATTTGTCAGTGGAGCTAGTCGTTTCATATCTGGTCTAAAACCATTACCATCAACTAGGTATCCAAAACATTCAAAACTAGATACACAAAATGAACACTTATTTGGATTTACTGTAATATTCTTCTCAATTAAACGACGCAATAAGGCAATAAGTCTCTGGTCATGAACTCCCTTTTCAGCACCATGAACAATCAGATCATCTTGATAAACTTCGACACCTTCAAGATCATTAACCACCTTATTCATAACTTCCGGGAATATGGCTGGAGAACAACTTAGACCAAATGGAAGGAAATTGTATTTAAACAGACCAAAAGGAGTATCAATTGGCGTCAAAATAGATGAGGATTGATCTAAACGGATTTAAAGATAAGCATCGTTTAGGTCAACTTTCGAGAACACTTTAGAACCATGAAGTCGATTTAGAATATCTTCAGCCTCCACCGTCGTGCATGTTTGCTTCAACAAATGGGAGTTCAATGTTAGTCTATAGTCACCACATATTCTAGGAGTCTTGCCATCCGATTTCACTGGCGTAACAAAAGGATTACCCCATGCAGAAGACTGAACCGGTTCAATTATGCCTTTTGCACACAAATCATTCAATGCCTCATGCACTGCATCTCGAAGACCATAAGGAACTATTCGTCTTTTGAGAAAGACTGGATCACCCTGTACTTGAAGTTTTATAGGCTGGATTTTTATACCTCCACTGCACTTAGCACACGTGGCTATCAAATCTTTAAGTAAAGCATCAGAATTTTCTTTAGAAACTAGGAGAGACAACTCCACTTTAAGCCTCTTCAAATTCCTTAAACCCAGTATTCACAGTCCTGTTTCGCTAACTAAAAATTCACAAGGTATGTATGAGGAATTATCATCTCTTATTAGCGATTCACAACATCCTCGTATAGGCAGTCTCTGTCCAGTAATCCCCAATATTGATACTTCAGTGGGTCGTATCACAACGTTCGGATCTAACGATTTCAAGTTCTTGAATGAAATAATGGACTCTATACTGCCTGTGCCCACAATAAAGTCATGACATGAACCAAGTGATGTATATAATCGCTTTTGAATATGAGCATTACCTTTCGAAATGGTAGACAAAGATAAATGATCATTAGGATCAGCTGGATTATTGGGATCTAAATTACAAGATTTAGTACTAATTGAGGCAAAATGAACAGTAGCTTTGCATACTGCTTGAATGTGTCCTATCTTACCACATCTAAAACATTTAGCATTACGAAATGCACATGAATGACGAGAATGAAGTTTTCCACATGATTAATATTTGCCAAATTCGGTCTCATCTTTGTGATTTCCTTTGTAATTCTTTTTTGAGACACCGTTCATATTTATACGAGAATCGGAACCTCTGTTAAACGAACAAAATTTTGATTGACCCTGAGATTGCATTTCATCATGACAACTAATCAAAGTGTTGAAAATCTTCATCGACTGAGTATCAAGTTCATCCAACGCCTCGTAGTTAATGCACGCAGTTCTAACATCTTCAAAGGAACAGTTTAACATTCTTAACAGCTCTCTTTCCGAACTAGGTATGTTAATTCCTGCGATTAATCGGTCTCTTTTGACAGCTTGTTTCGGCAATTCAAGAATGAATTCCTTAGCCTTTTGGTCATTTCGACGAATTATCTTATGAAATTTCGCCCTTTCACGGCATTCAAAACTAGTGCACTTTACATGATTTAATAATAACTCCTTAAGCATTGCATAGGGAAGTGAGATAGGTTTTTCTGGATATGCCAAAGTTTTTAATAAGCTGTACGCTTCTCTTCCCATGAATGTCAGGAAATGAGCCACAATTTTATCATTTATAACATCTTTCTTGGTCATACTCCAGATTTCAAACCTTTCCAAATAATCTTCAAAAGCTTCAGAAGTAGAATGAATATCTAACTGTTCCATTACAAGTTCCATCGCGACGCCAATATGATAATTAGAAGTATTTGTATTTAAGGATCATGAACTACGAGATGAGCACAAACGAATGTACTGTATTTAGAATTCGAAATCAAGCATTCCAAAACAACAAGAAGTCACTAGTTCATTCAAACAGCACATCACACCTTTGTTTTATTCCAGAATATTTTTCTGTTTTGCTCCTCACCGTTTTCTATTTATTTTTTTTCAGCACCTTATCCTTAAGCCGAAGCCTTGGTTACTTTACCCAGGAGCCTGTAAACTTATTATCTGATAAACATCAACAAGATTTTTGCGTATTTCCCTCATCAATTCTTATTATACACAGACCTGGATTTATCTTGTATTAGTTCTCAGCGATTAGTAATGCGTCATAATTACACATGCACTCCAAATCCAGTGGGTTTCTTTTGATTTAAATCATTAGCTTATGTTGAGCAACCAGTGAAAGACTGTGAGCATTGAACGGAAGTCTCGCATTAGTATAGGACTCCACAACAGTGCTCACACATGAGCTTAAACAAGGGAGTCGAAGATACGGACACTTAACCTATAAACCACTAAGTCAGCACCAATTGTGATAATGTTTAACTCCACGGCATTATGCGACCAACATTGTCTTTAGTGAGTATTTCAATCACATTTAGGTCGACCCATGATTTCAGTTAGATCAGACAAACTCCAGGACCAGGTTTAGATTGAACTTTCATGTATTTCATATGTGCATCCCCAAATTACACTCAGCGCTCTACATGTCACCCTCATGGATCATAGAATTCGGAAGGCGCTGTCGATGAAAACGCGAACAGATGTACAAGTATATTAATACCAGCAGCAGTAGAGCGAGAAGATGGTTAATTGTATTCCGTTCTAGAAGTATTTTGCTGAAAATAAGCTCACAGAAGTATGTCATGCAAGAATTTAAGTCAACGGCACTTAATTCCTAGTTGGCCACCCAAAAAACCAAGTGTTGGATCTTCTAACCATATACAAAGAGGTTGCCTTTGGCATACAGGAATAAAGACCGTGGTAGAATTTGAAATGGGACAGAATGTCAGCATATTATATTATTTTAGCTCCATTATGTAACCAATCTTCAAATTTTCAAGATTTATTGGCCTAATTCGAAGGTCAAAATCTCTTTGATCTACCTGTGAATCCTACGTTTTATAGAAAGATCGATCGTACACGAATTCTCTTTAATTCCAGATAAGGCGGTCTAAAACTATGGAGGTTAGTTCAAATAATTATTCTCTTACCTAGTCCAAATTCAGAACAAAATGAGCAACCGTTCTGAATATAGTTTTAAATAGCATCAGCTGGTTATACGACAAATAACTGTTCAGCGAACCAATCAAACCGTTATTTGATTGAGATAAATTTAGAGAGAGCAAATGATGCTTAACAGTTCCAAAAAAGTATCTGTTAAGACAGGAATTTTATTATATCCTATATTGATAGGTTAGGTGCAATTTGTTCAAAACGCAATATTAAGCAGTAAACCATTAACAAAATAAATTAAGAACTATAAGCTTAATTACTTGATATTTTGAATCCCGGGAGTTTTTTCATTTCAACAAAGTAAAACGAGCAATTACAGGCACCATCAACGATACAATCAAACGGGGAAGAAATGGATACAAAAACTGTCAAAGAAATTTTAAGTAAGGATACGTCGGTGTAGTTCGTGAGGAAAATAGTTCAGTAGACAATGAAAACGACTGTCTCATCACGATTCCAATGATCAACGAAAAAAACAACTGGACGAGTCAAGAAAAACAACTCCATATTTGATAATAAAGCGATACGTTACATCACAGAGGTGTGCATATGTAGGAATTCGCATAGAAATTCACGCAAACTTCCAAAAAAGGTCTTTCAGATATATGACATCTGTGAAAAAATCACATAAACGACGGTCACGTATTTTCCAGGACACTATTATTAGATAACAGTCCCTCCAATTAACAGTGAAGAAACTCGGTCTTCATGTGAAGATATATTTCAAACCCTACCTGTTTATCGATAACCAATTCCTGTTTGCGATGACTTAGTATAAGAGGTGTTGCCAGTTGTTAATAAGTATTCTTCCAGTTACAATGTAACAGATCAAACCAAGGCACTTCAAATGCCGTCGCCAAATCTGTTTCTTGTTAAACAAGAGTTAAAACGACGCACTCAATATTTGACCTTTACTTGACATTATTTTATTGACTCGCTAAAGCAAGCTGTTAGGGACGCATCACCATTCTGCTATTCAAGGCCTTATTCGTTACAAAAGATTATATCGCAACTAGTTTAAGTGACGGCTTCGAAACCTGACTGTAGGTACCAAACGTAGATACGACTATTGATTCCTAAGAGACGAACAAAGCTCCGAAGTATAAACGCATTGTCAAAAAACGACGACATTATGATGCTACAGCGAATATCTAAGATTGATTTACAGGACCTTATCACACAAAGCTTTGACGATCATAACACCAAGATAGTGAAGATTACTAAGTGGTTATACACCGAAACAACTGAGAGTTCAACACTAGCATCATACCTCACACCTTACTCAGCCATCGACATATGCCAACAGCAGTAGACAGGAAAGTGACAACTTAGTTTCCAAAAGATGGTTGTGAGACAAAAGACATAAAGAAAAATTCCATGGACGCCAATAATCTATGTTACCTACCAGATCTTTTCTACTACCAGTAATGTCATTCCTAACTCCACTACTTTGCAATTCACATAGTTAACTTCATCACATGGTACACAAACCCGAACAGATGTACAGGGTCCTATACTGCGTACGAGTGGTACTTAGCATGGATTAACTAATTCATAGTAGAAACCCTAACGAACGTCATGACCCTATGCTTGTAGAGCTCAAACCATATTCATCCCAGGCACGTCGAATTTACTGTTTTAGTGTTGTGGAGTCAGGTCCTCAAAACTTGCTTATCTGGATTAACTTACTACATTTTCGCACATTGAAATCATCAATCACTCATTGTTGGACCAATACCAGGATGAAACGAATACACATATTACCAATGAGATGTCAACTGAGCATGTAGAAGTCACATAATTGTTGGTAATAGTCAGTCGCACTAACTTACAATACGGCTTGTGCGAAAATGCACTGTTAAGTGCTAAAAAATCATTTTATGGTCATTCCTAGAGACTACACTACTTCACATCAGCCATTCGCAATATGTAAACTTCTGTTTCAACAAAATACACCACCGCAGATGTTTCATACCCTACCATCAACTTTCATGTAATATCCTTAAGAATAAGGCACTAAATTCAGTCATATACCACTATCTAAATATCCCAATGTGAGCTCCCAGTCATGCTAAGGCAACGGCGAGTGTCCCTATCTTTCCGAGTCCTTACTGTCCCGTTCAGTCGGACGGCGCACAAGCGACTATCTACAGGGATCCAGTCAAGGAGAGATTGTTCTGCCCTACGACTCAATGCTATACCTACACCGGCGAGGCCCCTAGAAGCAGCATCAGGGCTACCGGATACACGAAGAGTGAATCGGGATGCTGCTTCGTTTTGACAAGGTGGAATCAGGTTAATGACTTTACTAGGATCCTGTATGCGCGTTTCCGAGACGCAGCATACATCGATGGCACGAGATTCTAAAGTCCTAGCTAATGATGCCTGTTGCCCTATTTGACACAATGTCCGTACATTGAATGCTCCAACATGTAGTTTGGAGCGGGGTTTAAGGAGACCAGGAACGACGTTTCGCAAACTCGCATCGTTTGCATTAGCTGTGCACTGTAATAAATGAATGTGAGAAGAGTTAGTTGTGGAGATAAGAGAGGTATTAGGGAACTTAGGAAGGATTTGATTTTGAACAATTTGGTCTCGTGTGCTGTTACGGGTATGAGGGCGGTTATCACTTCCCGGCTGCCCACACCGTGGAAGGTTGTTTCTTGACGAACCTGAAAAGGAAGATGGATTAGTGTTGGTGCGTGACCGCAGAGTCCAAGGGACAACTGCTTGAGGCCGGTCACGCACGGCCTTTTTATGAAACGTTGTTTGAGGATTAGCTCCGTTCTTAAAGGCCCTTAGTGGGCACCCTTACCCGAGGAGACGGAAATCCGTGAGGTAGGGGAGGTGTGACATTTTTAGGGCCGACCTTTTCTAACCCTTCCTTCCTTGTGAGAAGGCAGCATCGCTGCAGATGCTGGTTGTCCGAGGGAAACACCTTACTGCTGTCACACCCCTCTGCAGTCAGCAGTACGACTTCGCCCTCAGACCTTCAGTAGCTGCTTTTAGTCTCATCGTTCTCCAATCGACCTACCTGGCATGGTAGGACCTGCAGGAACATGTGTTCCAGCCAGTATAGCTCGGTTGGGTCATCACGATAGGCAAGCCCGACCACCACGTCAAGGTAGCAGCTTCGGTCGGGCTTCTAACCACAAGGTTGAAATCTGTTCCAACTATTTTAGTTCTTTTTTACCGAGTAGTAATTCCTAACCCTTTAGGTAAACAAATGTAACTTGAAACACAGTAAGCGAATACGTATTCAGTCGATGCAAGTAATTCAAAAAACTACTAAATATAACACGATCAAGCAACGTCATTATTGTGAATCTGGACGGCTATTTCTACGCCTGAGTTGAAATTAATTGTAAACATATTTTATGGGCTTTGAAACTAAGTGGTTAAATAATGAGATCTAATGCTGATAATAAGTTACTTCATATCTTTAACAAAACTATGATTTGAGTGATAGTCAGTATGTTTAGCGAAAATAATTGGTTATTGGGCAATCCTGTTGACAATGAGTAAATGGACGCCATAGTAAAGAAATAAACTATTTAAAAATAGTCATATTACAATATTATAATACTCCGGCACTAGTTATACATATATATGACTTACTTTATGGAAGAAATTAGGCAAAAACTTCATTGCATTTGTACGAATACAAGCTACATTATTATATTGACCAGAGTGTTTTAAGCGTAATGCTTTAATTTTTTCCTATTGAAAAATAAAAAAACACCTTTAGAAGGATCGACAAACACAACAATGAGTATAGACGTAAAATTATTTTATGTAAAAGGTAATTTTATAGTACAAGGATGTGAAAACACGCAAAACTTTAATGATGATTTTTTGATGTACTAACTTGTTAATTCCAATTGAGACAGTTTATGTTTGTGTAAGTGGGACAGAAAATAAACCATATTTAGATACTTGACCGCATGGATAACAGTCATGTCCACCTAGGTTAGCAAGTATGAAAAGTAGCTTTATTGGGACGAAATCATTAAACGGTTGATTTTAATAGCCATTGAACAATCACCAACTTCTCTACACTACCTACTTTGAAATGACTTCAAAATCCCATACTTGGTTACTAAATAGAACTTGTAAAGGATATTGTATTTCTAAGGGAGTAGACATTATGAGCTTAACATTTTTAATAACAAAATAATTGAGAACAAACAACATAAGGCTACAAATGTACAATTATATTATATAATATTAAGTTTAGAAATTGTATTCTACACACAATTACCGAATGGTTGAACAATAGTAACCATTGATTCGGTTTCACATGTAGTATGCAGCAGGATAAAAATTTAAGACAATTTACAATTAAACGATTAAGCTAGAACTTGGATATGGCTAACTAAAAGATAATACGGTAATAGAAATTGTTCTGTAGATACAGTCAAGTAAACCAGTTGATTTTTTAAAAACAAAATATGACCCAATAAATAGCAATTTAAAGTGTATAACAACTGTATAGTGTCTCAAAAATGAACAACTGAACTTTAATACGTTCCTCTTGTTTTGGAATTAGTAATAGTTATTTTTTGTCACTAAATTTATCTATGTGATATAAGCATTACATTTACCGGGAACGGCAAGTTCATTTAAATTCTGTTTTGTTTTAACCCAATGTTGATTAACAAAAATAACAATATGTTATTTACGCTTCATGTACTCAATCATTTTCTATGTAAAGTGCAGTTTTGAACAGAAAATATTGCAACTAAAAGACGTCAGGATAGTTTTGAAAACATGGTATTTAGGTTATAAAGAAAACGGGCGTTTAGTGTATATATGCATATATCATAGATAATATTAAAAAAAATCCATATACATAATCTGCAGCAGTATTTTGATTCATTTATATAATGCATTTCTTTAGCAGAAAAACTGAACACTGAAATACATCTTTATTAAAATTAATTATATAAATGAATGCAAAAAACTTAATGAGGTCAACCTACTTGAACAAAGTCACAGACTTTCAAACGTATTTCCAAGCCTACACTTCGAGTAAATGGATAAGAAGTAGATAAGCTAAACAACAATCCACCATAGCCGCAACCTACATCTAAAAACCGAACAATCGGATCAAAAGAGTTGTTATTCACAGACAATGAAGAAGCTTGATCACTTCCAAATAACTTATCCCAATCCATCAGCTCCGGTTTCAAAGGATAATCAAATGTATGATCAGACCATGGATTACAATGAGCTCTTTGACGATAATGACGTTTAGAAGGTAAACGGATATTTTCATCAGTAGCATCTTCCACACAGAAATCAACAGAATCAAGAGTCGTTGTACATGCGGACATCTGTAAAAATATCCAAAATTGTAAAACTACTTGGAAAATGATAATCATAAATGAGAAAATTTATTTTCTAATATTTCTTCTTTTTTATACAGAAATTAACAATGTACACAAGTGAACAGTAATTCAGTGACAAGTAATAAAAGAAGATAAAAATGTAAATAATTGTTAAGAAATTTCGTCGGTTAATAAAGAATAAATTTAAAAAGTAAAAACGCTCAACAATTCAAGGAATCGATATTAGTGAAAGACTGGATTGCATACTGTAATTTTTTTTAAATACCAAGAAAATTTATTTTACCATCCATGCAAATACTACAAAACATAAAATAATAGTAATAAAGGCTTTAATAAGAAATCCTCTTTGTGCAGATATTCGCCGCATAAACACTAGTAATTGAGCATGCGCTTCATTGATATTCATTTCCACATTATCTGTTTGACTGTCTATTCGCAAAACTAAATCATTTTGTTCTTGAACTAAAGTAGAGAATTGTTGGTAAATCTCTCCAAGTTGAACAATAGTTGATTCTACCCGTCGAATTGCAGCATCACGTTGACGAACTTCCTGATCGATAAGAGAGACATGTGGATTACTAGCAAATATTTGAAGTTGTTCTGTTGTCCGACTTTTTGTTTCTGCCTGGTAAAGAAATGATAAGAAGGATAGTTTGTTTATAATGACTGGAATACGATATACGAAAACTCAAATACACCTTCAAATGAACATTAAACACATATAATGATATTGTAACTGACAACGATGAACTCGGTATTAATAAACATTCATCCAATGTAACTATCTCAGTACCTGGTAGCACTATTTGTGCTATTGAAGGAGGATATTATGATGAAATCAATCAATTATTTTACCAGACAAATAACTGAAAAATAGATGCAGGAAAAATATGTGATTTATTGATGTCACTCAATTTCTAAGCCTGGTTAATAATAAGCTGGCTTTTTCTTGCAAGTATCAGGTTTGATATTACATTGCTTTTTTAAACATTCAATTACTATTTACATCTTCCATCAAATCATAATATGGAAACACGATTTAGTGAATTTCTGTGCAAACACACACTTAGGAATCTAAAATTTGTACTAACTTGATAACACATACATTATAACAAAATTCTTTCTTACTAACACTAAGTATTGGATAGAAAAACGACATTTACAGCGTTGATTAAATTATCCATAATTTTAAAAATAATTAAAAAAAATGCTAAGTAATAAATATAAGGGGAAAACTGTTAACCGTATTTTTTCTACAATAACACTTAGCGAATTAGGGAGATGGAGAAATCAACTTTTAGACTGAGATTTATTGATTCTGCGAGAAGTACAAAATGTTGGTCGATGGTCTATGCTCCACGAGGGGTAACAGGAGTAAGTTAGTAAGTAATATTTATGTATAGAACATACCTGAAATGAGTTATAAACCTCAGATCGATTAACTGTCAGAGTACCATTTGATTTTGCGATAGGTATTATAGTCGGCAAACTTGAAGCTGAATACGAGTTATGTATAGGCGGTACATGTGACAGAGTGGAGTTAGAAAGATTACTTGAGCATTGCTGATTCTTGTTTTCAAGTAACTGGTCTTTTAAGAGATGGATGGTCGGAATAGAAGTAGCTGAGGTATGGTTGCTTGGAGAGTGTTTATTAGATTCGATTATCCCTGAGTTTACAGTATATCCCGTCGATGGATTTGGGTCAGTATTTACGTGAATGTTAGCATCTAATTTTTTAGAGTCTGTCGAAAGAGAAGTTTTATGTCCTTCCAATACAACACGAAACTCAGAGACAAGAAATGAGAGATGATATTCTAATCCAATGACAATAAGGTCTATATGTTTCAGGTGTTGAAGACCAGTAGTTGAACGCTCTTTAGCTTCGGATACGTTGGCTTTTAACTGAAGTTTAGTTTTATTTAAATCCATTATATCATATTGTATTACTTCAATTAACTTGCTGAGGACTTCTGGAGATGAATGTGATGCATTTTCGAGCAAAAGTTTCAGTTTAGACATCTTTGAAACGGTCATTTTTAGCTCCTCAGAAACTTGCTTTGACTTAGCTACGAGATCAGCAGTGGGAGCATGGTCACACGAATAGTTACGTTTAGGGTGAGGGGGCTTGAGGCGCAGGCGACCAGAAAGCATACGATCATGAAGTAATTGAGTACATGCTCGAAATTCCCCGGTCCTATCAGAGGCTCCAAGCATGACCCTACAATGAAGATATGAGACGTTGGCACCTAACATGAATATACCATATAATAGATATATATGGGTTTAATGTTATAAGAAAAAAATCCTATTTCATACTGTGAGAAAAGAAAATTGAAGAATTTTTGGTTCATTATCGAAATAACGTGTCATTTTAATACCCAAAACAATATCCTTTAATCATATAAATTTCACTGGATTTATTTTTTCTGAGAATTTGTAAATAAACCTGTTACTTGAGTAAACAAAAAACCTCTTCTGAACAGTAGTATTTGATATCAGGTTATCTGAGCATTTTAAGTGGATTACGTGGTCATATGAGTAATTATCCATCAAACTGATACTATCATCGCATTTCATCTATCGGTTAGCATTCTGTTCATTCTTTTTCAGTCAGTCAGTCAATTAGTCATCCCTCTATAACAACCTAAGGTGTAAGGGTAAAATTAAGTTAGTTTTGTGCGTAAAGCTGGCAAGTAAAATAACAACAACCACGTAGAGATCCTCACAAATCTGAAATAATAGATTGAAGCAAATCAAGCACAGCCTTAAGTACTCGACCTGAAGAAATAAAAGCCTAAAATACCAAGTAATTATCATGAAATTATTTCTACTAATAAAAGCAATACACAAGAAAGCCATTATGATTGGTTGGGGGATCAACATCGGAATACAATCACGGGCAAGAACTTCAACCCAAAAGTTTGATAGCGAAGGAAATACCTCACAAGACATTAACATGCAAGGCGAAACCAAAAATGAATTAATTAAACTGTATTACTGGGAAGGTATATTTAAATCTCATCTGAAATGACTAAGAATAGGGTATTTAAAGGTTGGTTAGCTTTGTCAAGATAACTTCCGACAGAAAATTTAGAAAAAGTCTTCTTGTGACAATCACAAAGGAATAAGTCTAACTAATATAGTTTCGAAATTGTTAGCATCAGTTATCCTTAGACGCCTAACTAGAGCTCGTGAATAGCAGACTAGAGAAAACCAGGCTGGTTTTCGACCTGGACGTGGTTGTATAGACCACATTTTCACACTACGATAGGTCCTGGAACACAGACACACATTTAGACGTCCTACAATAATTGTCTTTCTGGACCTAAAGGCGGGATTCGACTCTGTGGATCGTGAGGTTCCGCGGCAGTGTCTGTCATTAAAAAGTGTACCTTATACAAGCTCTCTACTCGAACACCACTGGTCGAGTAAGAGCTTATGGCGAACTGTCATCGGAATTCTCCACATCAAGTGGTGTCCATCAGGGATGTCCACTTTCCGAATTCGTGTTCAATTTTGTCACAGACATGCTCCCAGATATAACCTCATCCTCGTCTGAATTTTCAGTAGACCTTATACCAGGAAAGTCGCCTACTGATCTAGAATATGCCGATGACATAGTTCTATTCGGTGAAGACGCTGACAAAATACAGAGTCTTCTCACCACTCTAAGCAACAACGCAAGCATGTTCGGGATGCGGTTTTCCCCCTCGAAATGCAAAATGTTGCTTCAAGATTGGGTTGCATCGGCACCTGAACTAGTGATAGGGAGTGAAGTAGTCGAGCGTGTAGACTGCTTCACTTATCTGGGGAGTCTCATCAGTGCTGATGGCCTGGTGACTGACGAAATCTCAGCTCGGATACAGAAGGCTCGAATGGCTTTTGCCAACTTACGTCACCTATGGCGCAGACGAGATATCCGTTTGCTAACCGAAGGTCAAGTGTACTCCGCAGTAGTTCTCTCCGTCCTATTTTATGGCTGCAAAGTAGAAGATATTCGTATGTTGCTGGCTATCAATAATGGGTGTCTCCGACTGCCTCGAAGAGCTATGTTTTGTGGTGTAGTAGTAGGTTGGTAGAATGCTGGGTGCGGCCAAACCAAAACATGGCAGAAATCCATGAAGTCATTGACAAGTGGTCTGATTCATGTTGGTAGGTGTTGACTACCTGGTTGGAGCCCGCGAGATGATGGTAATCGATGGTTAGAGACCATGAATGATATGGCTCAAAACCGTTCGCAGGTGCATTCATTATGTGTTCTCTCAAATCCTAAACCTTTTAATTCTTCATCACTTAATCCTTATCTTTTCAAGTCTATTTCATTGGATTCTACTTCTTGAATAATATCTTCTAATCCTAACGTCTTCGACTACTAATACCTTTACTACCTCAACTACTATGAGGTTTGAATTGACAATTACGTCTCTGTGCTGATGTGGTATCGCAACATGAACTGATGTACGTATGTACGAAGTTCTACGTTGCTGTTGAATGATTGACACCGTGAAAGGGTGTTATTTGAGAGACTTGAAAATGAAATCGGATTAGTATTGATCTTAGTGACATAACAGCGTGACCTCTGATCCCAGCGGACAACTGATGAAGGCCGGTCACATACAGCCTTTTATTGAGAAGTTTTTAAAGTGTTGGCTTCACTCTTTGGGTATTCGTAACACATGTTCCAACCACCTCAACTGATGAAGTTTTACTACTTATCTATTGAGCTGCCAGCTAGTGCTCATTTCCTAGCAAAACCATTGCTTACTCGGTTGTCCTAGGATACACGAGCAGTGTTTCGAAGACATCTATGATCGATGAGGATCATGTTGTACTGCTGACTGCAGAGAGGAGTGACAGCAGTAAGGGGTTTCCCTTGGACAACTAGCATCTGCACCGATGCTGCCTTCTCACAAGGAAGGAAAGGTTACAAAAGGTTGATCCTAAAACTGTAACACCTCACCTTACCTCACTGATTTTCGTCCCCGGGAGCAAGGCCTGCTAAACAAGAACGGCGCTAAAAGTTCATATAATTTTATTAAAAACGTCGTGCGTGACCGGCCTCAAGCAGTTGTACCTTGGGCTCTGCAGTCACGCTCTCAGATCAACGGTAATCTACCTTCCTTTCCAGGCTTTTCAGGAAACCCCCCCCCTAGCGGTGTGGGCAGTTGGGAAGTGACATCCTCCTTCATACCCGTAACAGCATGCCCGAACGATCGAAAACCAGTAACCTACGAATATCTTCTACTCTGACTGGCCATGTTTCATAGCTAGATAATTGAGAGATACGCCGAAACAGTGACTTTTTCCATGATTAATTGTATCTATATACGTACAAGAAATGAGGATTAAGAATCCGAATTACTCGGTTGTCTGATAAATTAAGACGACGAGGACTACTGTCAAAACATTTTAGGAAAACGGACATCAACCGCTAGTTAGTACTTACATCTACACAGATTATAAGATGAACAGGATAGTCATGAACCTAAACCAAATATCTATGTAATAAAGTTTACGTTTGGAAAAAGCGGAACCAAAGAGTAAATTATTCGGTAGTTGACTGAGGAGATAGACTGTTGATCTATAGGAAAAAAGCCTAAATCTTATAAGGATTTCATACTTAGAACAGAAGATTATCCAGCATAAATGACTAAAAATGTTTAGACAAAATAGGTGAACTCCGAAATTCCATAGTTGTCTGCAATCAAAAAATGGTCCATGTACATTTTACGTACACGTGTATCAATGGAGTATAATTGCCCCAAGAACTAATCTAAATACTGCAGAAATTTTAAAAATTGTTCATCTGTAGGAAAAAATTTATCGATCATACTCTTTTATAATACAGACAAACAATTGAGGAATCATCTTGTTGGCAAACCTGACCTGTCGACCTTGGAAAATCAAAATTGTGGATTTTTGGTTGTCAATTCTCAATGACAAGGATAGTGGTACGGTAGACGTGTGTTAAACTTTGCTGCCTTTTTCCAATGAGGAACTACCTTTGCATATACGTTGTCCACTGACGTGGCTGACACTAGATGTTTCGGTGGAGTTTCCAAGTTAGTGAGAACTAAATGGGGAAAATACATAATCCGACTCTAATTTCAAGATATTGCGGTTTTCGAAAATTCTTGCTATGGAGACAGAAAAACGATGAAGACATTCTAAATCCTTAAAATGAGGACCTTATAACTCACATAGCAGAGTTTAAATTTATGTTTCTGGTTAGCGTTTTTTAGTGAGTTTTCTACGGGATGGGGACGCCCACCCTATACTCAACCCTCCTCCTTTATTCGGGCTGGGAATTAACAATAGCTAAAGGAGGTCTCCAAGTGTAGTTGAATATGTATTTAGAATACTGCTAATCTATTCTGTTCAAGTGTAGGCACAAGTAACGACGTCAACCAGTTGCACTTTATTATGATCTAAACTGGGACCGTACCAATAGAATAAGAATAGAGCTCCAAAAACTCGACTGGTTTATACTAGCTCCTGGAAGAGATATCAGGTACTGGAACCCATTTGAAACGATCTAGTCGAGATTGACTATGATCACTACTACAGAAATTACGAGCCCGTCACTGAGTTGGAGGGTTATTCCATAATAGATAATATATTTACTGGCGATTTCGTGGTATCCAAAGGATACCAGCACTGAGGTGTGAAATCACAGAGATGGTGGAGCAAAGATAACAGCAACACGAAAGGACGTTTGGGCAAAAAGAGTGTTATAAATAAGAAGTACAGTTAGACAATCACTGGTACAATTGGTTATAATAATGAATGCTTCTATTAAACCAATCGCGTTCTCTTCATAAAAGAGTCACTATAACGCTCTCAACTTTAGTTTAGATTATTTTAACCTCATGCTTCTGTTGTTTACGATAGCTTACTATTTTAAAAGTAGGTGCATTCTATTCATCTACTAAGTTATCGGGCTCACTTTTCCCCTGTATTTGTTCAAATGACCTCACACTTCCCTATTGCACAATTTACCTTCACACCACGAGGTGGCATCATTCCCACCCAAATCTAATTGGCTCTAATTATGAACGCAAAATACCTACTTTTGTAATATATGTAGTATAAAAACTGTTACTTTTGTTTGCTCACCTTAGGACACAGGTCCGTTTTAGTTGAGTCTGAATGTCTCAAGTATCTAATCTGGTATTTACGTATATGATAGCTAATACGGAATGAAGAGAGTACTCAATAAAAAACTAGCAATACCCATTGTTAATATTGCTTCACAGTCTTGTTCTTTAACTGTACGAGTGGTTTACAGCAATAAATGTTTATCGAAAGTAACTGTCCACTCTACTTTTCTGGTTTTGGTTGTGGAAGATTTAATAAGTTTCTAAGAGGTGGGTCATATGGAGCAACTTCTTTCAAAGAACTAAATAATATAAACCAGTCAAAAAGGTATAAAACGATTACAACTGACGACCACTACATTTATCACAACCGACCTGAAACTCAATATGTTAAGAAAAGTCAAGCCGTAATCAAGGGGAAACTTGTTTATTGCTCTCATTATAAAGTCTTAGCAATGCAACTTAGTCTGGGAATTCGGCGTGTGAAGCTACCCCCATCAGTACTCTGGGTGCATAGACAAGTAGTACTCCGTTTAAACAAAAAATCAATAGGGAAACTATTTCGTAACCCTTACCTTTGTGAATAACCTATTCAAATTCGTCAGATCGTCAAACTTAGCTTAACTGCTGCGCAGGAAAGCGTTCAAAATCTTACCCTCACTGAGTTAACTGGTTCGAAGCTTCATAAACACAATAATTTTGCGGATATCTAGATACTTCTAGAGTGGGATCAGCCTAAGATACAAGACTTGTCAGATTATCAGCGTTTGAGAATAGATCCTTCACTCTGTATTAAATCAAACTTTGATGTGCATTTAAAGACTGTCGATTGGATATTGGTTACTGTTGGTCTGGCATTAATTGGCCTCCACATAAACGTAACGATTCCCTGGAGTGCGAAGTAATAGTAACATGGGGCGAGTCTCTTGAGACAGTTTCAGTGTTACAGGATTAACTGATTTGACAGCAAAAGTTCGACGGACTCACGGTATGCCAACAATTATCATCTGGGTACTAAGTTAATGTACAGTTGTGAAGTGTAGTTGTAAATAAATAAAATGGTAATTTTGAGGTTGTCAGTATGCAACTAATAACCTTTGTGAAGAGAAAACTGTTTTCTTTTACACAGTAGCAATGTCACAGAAAAAAATTTAGTAATCATTCTAGTCATCTGCAAGCATGACAGATACATAATAACCCGAACCCGAGTGTTGTTCTCACGAAATCCGTTTCTAGTTAGGCGCAAAGGTAGCTGGACATTATGGACGTCCCAGTACCAAGTGAAAGGCTCGAACATCTCTTTAGGAGGTTGTAAAAATTATTTACTACAAGGTACTTCTACATAATGCAACTAAAAGCTAATTATTAGCACGTTGAGAAGGCACTAATATGCATGAAATGTCTGCACACTTCTGCATTCTTTCATCGAGAATTAATCCAAGCACTGTAGAGAACTCGAAATCACCTAAGAAATGAACCTTGATTACGACATACACTCTGACCCAAAGAATATCGAAAAAGTGGAACAAGGTCATGTCGTGTTCTATTTCAAGGGCCGAGTCCAACTGCTAGTCAAAAGTATCAACTAAGTAGCTTTACTTTGCTTGACTGTTTATAAACCTCTAGTTGAGTTAAGTACTACATCTAGGTAATTGTCAGAAACGAATAATTTTAAGAGAAAAAGGCAATTGTTAATGAAAACTCAACACAGGGTGGACATCGAACTTCTTGCGATGCTATTTATCTAGACGATCAGAAAACCAAAATGTAAGTAATCCATAAACGGAGTTCATGGGTGAAAAGAAATAGAATAATAAACGAAAGAGTCCTGACAGCGGGTGCAAACAATATGTGTACTTCAAAATATGTTACATGTATGCATATTTGTAAGTAGTATTTAGTCTACATTCAAAAAAGTGATGACAACTAACAAACGCTTCCCTATCTTATAAGCGAGATTTCTTGATCAAATGTTGGCGAAGACGTCAAAGTAACTAGAATATTTGATCAGAGCAATCGTTATACAGTTGTATCTTTGTAAACATGCTTAGTGATGGTGTGAAAACATAAATGAATAAATAAGAGCGGGAACAGGACTGTACATGGCAAAATAACAGAATGCAAGGGAAAATTTTTACCGATTTAGCATTATTAATTTGTATGCTGCTATGGTTGTTAGTGAAATTAGTGGCGATCTCAATTATTAGAACTTTGCTAACCACAAGAATAACGTTTTTTAATAATTAAGAGATGATTCTAGGAGAAGGGACATTTCAGAAATACATCAACAAGGAGACGAAGTTGGGAAGGGTGGTAAGGCTCAGGAATGCGAACAGTATAGTTGCTGATTAAAGGAGTTTTAGAAAAGACAAAAATATATAAACATGTAATAATGACCTGATTTGGTTAAATTTCCATCATTCATGTTTTATTAATGTTACACTGAAAGTGCACATATATTTGCAAAACTACTGAGGTACTCATGAACGAGGAAAAATAGAAAAATTGATATCAACGAGATCATAGTAATCAAAAAAATATAAACTATACACATAAAGAGACAAATACTATGATAGTCTATGTGCGTGAGGATGGATGGACAAACAATTAAGCAAATATATTAACAAACGTCGGATTGTTCCCAAAATCCTTTATCATAACCTTCATGTACGTGATCTAAAAGGACATTTCGACGACTTTCACAATATCTAGCTTTATCTTGCATTTTCTGTTTTAATTCATTTAAATTGATATTAGATAAATCACGATCTAGATATTCCGATAATTGTTCTGTAGACTGTTCCAAATCACTTTGATTACTTTCAAATATTAATGAATGATTATTTTTTTTCAAGAAATAAGCAAAAGCATAAGTATACATTAATGTTCTACGACATCGACAAAGAATTTCAACTAATTTTTTGAAAAACTTAACATCTATCCAAGATGTCCCATGAGCTTGCATTGTTTCCATTTTACTTTGTACTGTTTCATACAGGCGTGCCTCGAATCTCAAAGATTGCATATGGTTTAAATAACGATTTGAATAGAAAAGATAGCGGTCAAGTGACAACCTTGAGCTAGCTTGAGCTTCTCTAGCCAATTTAGCAGCAGAATCATCATAACGATTACATGTGTACCATCGCGATCCATGCGGTTCCCAACGATCTAGACACATCCAACAAAACTCATGCTTACAATCAACATTGCGACAGGTCATATGATTGCAACCACCATTTTTCTCTATAGTTGCACGACATTTTGGACACTCTTTAGTATTCGCCGCAATCCAGCCAAGCGTACCGCTATCATTTTCAAGCTTTTTAATCCATGTCCTCAACTGTTCACATCGAACTGGGTCATGCCATGGTTGACCACAGGCGAAACAGAAGCACTCACCACAGTTTGTACAAGTAATTTGATACGGCTCTCGGGGGCCAAAGCAGCGCACGGCATGTCCACAGTTAACACCCGGACACCAAGTCAACGCACGATTGTGGAGGACAAAACTACTAGATATCAGCTTGTAAAAATGCTTGCGTATATTTTGATCAGTAATCATTTGAAATACAACCTCATCTTCAACAATTATGCGACAAGTAGATGAAGGGCAATAAATCCGATCAATTTGACTTTCTTCCATTATTTTAATTTTAAGATAACGATGCCAACAGGCTAAACAGAAGTAGTGAGCGCAAGACAATCCAAACATTTGACCTAAATATTAGAAAGCAACGAGAGGTTAGATATAACAAAGTCTAGAGAATAAAGGAATCTCTCTGGCAACTGAGAGTCACTGTATCGGATGATGTGGAAGAGAAAGCTTGTAAGATTTAAAACCCAACAAAACATAACTTTGTATGTCGATTCCCCACACGGATAGTCCTAATTTTTAGTGTTCGGATACTAACTCACTCGACTAGTTTCCAAAATCACAATACGACTTATATAGATGTGTAATTATGTTCTAAATACGCCAAGTTGAATGAAAATGAATCAGAGTAAGAAAAACATCGGTATGTCTATTATTTTACTCAAGAGGATTATAGAGACTTCACTTATCCAACAGTACTGATTGGCTAAGGATGGGCCAATCAACATGCCGTAACACAGTACCGCACAGAATATGCTTTCATTCAAAACAAATTTAATAAGTGGTTTCTCTATTATATATATATATATATATATATATATATATATATATATATATATATCCGGAACAAGTACATAGCACTAAAATCGACTTCATCTGTGAGCAGACTGAGTTGCGTACACTGTAAGCACTTGCATAGGAAATCATACAATGCCCATCAAGAATAAGCCAATCTAGACAAAATCACTTATAAGTTTACGCAAAATTAACTGAGTGAATACGTTTTTAGTTCCAAAAATCATCACATAACGAACCATCAATCAACAGCTGTTAATGATCCACACAACCATGTGATATATTTACAGGTTAGGATAACGCAACTTGTGGATTTAAAGTGAACATTTAGGGAAATATGAATTTCCTCTCACAGCATAAATATTGTTACATTTCTAACTAGGAAGAATAAAGAATAACACGGGTGAAATGACATGTTTAGCATGTGCAAACAAACTAACTAATAAAATCTACTAATTAATTATGACTAAATAACAATAAGATTAAAGTAGTAATTTAGGCTTTTTATTCTAACAACAGTATAATTCTAACATATATGGTCTACAGAGATCAAGTCACGTTTATTATCATTATTACCATTGTTCGCTATTTTTCTTGAATAGTAATTATAATATTTGAGCAAATATAGTGCAATTATCATCATTATACGTAGAATGCTGATTAATTAACAATAGAAAAGTACATTAAAATGAGTTGTTTATAACTATTGTTAGCTAATAAGCTATCGCTATTTCACACTGGTAATGAAAATAGTCTTACTTGGAGTAGTTGGTAGAAAACATATATCACAAACGATTTCATTTTGCTTTTCACATAAATCCTTTGATTCTGTTACTAAAAATAAAATTATGGAGAAGATTATATATATATATATATATATATATATATATATATATATATATATATATATATATATATATATATATATATGCAACATATTTAAATATAGAGGAAAATTTCGCGATGATTTTAGGAAGCAATATAGTCAGGGATATTTTCTAATCAGTCAGTCATTTACAACGTAGAACTTCGTATGCACGTTATTCAATTCATGCTGCCATACCACATCAGTACAGAGACGCAATTTTCAATTCAAATCCCATAGTAGTAGAGGTGGTGTAAGTATTAGCTGTATCCAGAGAGATTATGGTTCAGAAATATTATTTAAGAAGTAGAATCTAGTGAAATAAACTTATAAAGATAAAATGATGAGGAAATAAGAAGGTTAGGATTTGTGAGAACACAGAATGAATTCACCTGTGCCGTTGCAAACGATTTTGAGCCATAACACTTAGGTTCTCTGACCATCGATTACCATCATTTCCCGGGCTCCAACCAAGTAGTCAACACCTACCAACATGACTCAGTCCACTTGTCAATGACTTCATGGATTTCTGCCATGTTTTGGTTTGGCCGCACCCAGCATTCTACCAACCCACTACTACCCCACAAAACATAGCTCTTCGAGGCAGTCAGAGATACCCATTGGTGAAAACCAGCAACATACGAATACCTTCTACTCTGACTGGCCATATTTCGCAGCCATAAAATAGGACGGAGAGAACTACTGCGGAGTACACTCGACCTTCGGTTAGCAAACGGATATCTCGTCTGCGCCATAGGTGACGTAAGTTGGCAAAAGCAATCGAACTTTCTGTATCCGGCCATCAGCACTGATGAGACTCCCCAGATAAGTGAAGCAGTTTACGCGCTCGACTACTTCACTCCCTATCACTAGTTCAGGTAACGATGCAACCCAATCTTGAAGCAACATTTTGCATTTCGAGGGTGAGAACCGCATCCCGAACATGCTTGTATTGTTGCTTAGGGTGGTGAGAAGACTCTGCATTTTGTCAGCGTCTTCACCGAATTGAACTCTGTCATTGGCATACTCCAAGTCAGCAGGAGTGTCTCCTGGTGAAAAGTCTACTCCTGAAGAGTCAGACGATAATAATGTTAACTCTAAAAGCATATCTACGACAAAGTTAATCAATAATGGGAAGATTGGACATGCCTGACGGACACCACTTGAAGTAGAGGATTCCGGTGAGTTCGCCATTAGCTCTCACTCGACCAGTGGTGTTCGAGTAGAGAGCTTGTATATGGTTAATGTACTTCATTGGTACACCATTTCATGACAGACACTGCCACAGAACCTCACGATACACAAAGTCAAATGCCACCTTTAGGTCCACGAAGACAACAATTATCGGACGCCTAAATGTGTGTCTGTGTTCCGGGACCTATCGTAATGTGAAGATGTGGTCTATACAGCCACGTCCATGTCGTAAACCAGCCTGGTTTTCTCTAGTCTGCTCTTTACTAGCTTTCGTTAAACGTCGAAATATTATAGAGGCCAATATTTTAGATACTATATTAGTTAGAATCATTCCTCTGTGATTGTCACAAGTGGACTTTTGTCCTTTCTAATAAGTTGGCACGATCAGGGACTGAGAGCAATCGGATGGGATTACGTCCAGTTCCCAGATTCTATCCAAAATCTCAGTCAATCTAGCTGCTAAGACTGGACCACCATCCTTAAAAATCTCAAGAGTTAGCCTGTCAGGACCCACTGCTTTCCCTTGTTTCAGATTTCCGATTGCTGTCCCAACTTCCAAAGAGTCGGAGGACTTACATCGATTTTTCATTCAGGTTGGCTGGAGATCGTGGGCAACCGAAGTGTGGCTGAAGGCTAGTTGAACTGATCCCTAAAGTGTTCTGCACATCAATCCAATCTCCGGATTTAGAGTGAATAAAAGTCCCATCCTTTTCCGACATGGTTTCGCTAACAGTCAGATTTCTAATCCCGGTTTACTTAATAAGTCTGAATAGCTGTCTGCTGTTACTTATCATCGTTGCCTTTTAATCCCTCTTGCTTTTGCTACCCACCACTGTTCGCAATCATTGCGTAGACTTTATACCAGCCTGCGCTCAGGCTGACTCCTCTCCTCCTTGCAATCAGAGCCAGGCGGGATGAGCTTTCGAGCATCTATCAGTTCTGTAGATGCTACTGAAATCCACAGCCTCTCCCTAACTGTATGGTTTACCTTGCTAGCAGATACCACAGCCTTTTTGATATCATTCCAACATGCCTCCGGATGGGAATCGCTTACATGGTCGCGTTACTGTTTTAGCAGTAGATCCTGATCCGACTTGATCATTCATCAGCGCTCTTAACTTTTTGAAGGTTAGAAAGCTTGCGGTAAAATTCATCTTTTACCTCTTCTGAAATGCAGACGGTGGGAGCGTAAGCAGATACAACAAAGTGGCAACGGTGAGTTTCCCTATTTTTACGAGTCCGTACTATCCCATTTAGTCGGACAGCACATAAGCGACTGTCTACCGGGATCAAGTCTATGAGAACTAGTTCTGCTCTAGGACTTACAACCATTACTACACCAGTGAGGCCACGCGAAGCAGCGTCAGGGCTTCCAGAAACAGGAATAGTAAATCCGGCTACTTCTTTATTTTGACAGGGTGAGGTCGAATGAACGATTCTACTCGGGTCCTGTATGCGTGTTTCGGAGGCGTAGTATACATCAATGACGCGAGATTCTTATGTCCTAGCTAGGGAAGTCTGTTGTCCTATTTGACACAATGTCGGGACAGTACAATATATAGTTCAGAACGGGTTCTCAAGAGGCCAGAAATAACGTTTCGTGAACGCGAACCATTTGCATTAGCGGTGCACCTAGATAAAGGGTTGTGAGAAGCGTGAGTCGTGGAGATAAGGAAGATGTTAAGAGGTGTAGGAAAGATTTGATTGTGACCAATTTGATCTAGTGTGCTGTTTTGAGTATGAGGGCGTGTCACTTCCCTGCTGCCCACACGTGGAAGAGTACTTCTTGAGAAACCGGAGAAAGAAAGACTAGTGTTGATCTGTGGGACCTGGAAGCGTGACCGCAGAGCCCAATGGACAACTGCTACAGGCCAGCCAACCACGGCCTTTTTAAAAGAAGTTTTTAGCGTTAGCTCCTTTCTTATTTTAAAGGCCTTACCGCCAGAAACAGAAATCCACGGAGTAAGTTGGGGTGTCACATTTCTTCTGTTGTGCGAAAGCCAGAATCGCTGCAGATGCTGGTTGTCCGAGGGAAACACCTTACTTCTGTCACACTTCTCTACAATCAGCAGTACGACTTTGCCCTGAGACCTTGAGTAGCTGCTTTTAGTCTCATCATTCTCCAATCGACCAGCCTGGCATGACAGAACCTACAGGAACAAGTGTTCCAGGCAATATAGCTCGGTTGGGTCATTACGATAGGCAAGCCCGACCACCGCGTCAAGGTAGCCGCTACAGTCGGGATATTTTCTAATACCATTTATTGTTCGTTAAGTAAATACGGATTACATAATAGGCATTAAGGGACAATTAAGCAAGCAGTATCGAGACAGAGCTGGCCTAGAATAGATGTGCGTTGGTCGAAGTTGCCATAAAACAATAAAACATTAGCAGAGATGTAAGGAACGACTAAATTTTAGAAATATGGTTTGAACAGACGGAGTGGGAAAGTATGTATAAAAGAATATTTTGACTCAACATTTAGAGATAGATAGAGTATATCTGCACTACTAAGAACCATTTCACCAATGTGTTGTGGACTCGAATAACGATGAACAAATAGATGTCATAATGTAACAATAGATATGATAATTTAGTTTTTCTAAATTGACGCCACTTTGTTGTCTGTTTGTACATACATTTATTGAGGAAATCAAATCATTTACTAGCAATCAAAGGATAAATGAATGAGTAAAAATGTTAGGCCTTATGATTAGGGATCACGTGCTTCGATCAATAAACTACCGAGCTACAGCGTTTTTTGTATAATGACAATAGAATATATGAGAATATGCCATATTAAAACTGAGTAATTACATCTTACCTGGGATATCTATAGGGTCTACAATACCTGCTTGAGTAAATGTATCTGCTTTCCCGTGTTCGAAATAAAATTCCATCAATGCATCTTTATCCCATTTAAAATGAGCAAGCAATAGTCGCAAATATGTAGGAGAAATTTGAATTATTTGTTCAACTTCTTTAGTAATATCAAACATTAATTGTGATAATTGATTAGGATGTAATATCTATAAATAGTAAGATATATTCAGTAAAATGACAGTTAACCATCTAGTAATATTTGTAGTGAATAGTATTAGTTTAAGCAATGTACACTTCATTCTTAAAGAAGATTAACACTGACGACACTGGCACTGTTGAAGTGTATCAACCTTGAGAAAATCTATTACATTATTCAAGGAGTACTAATTGTCAAAATAACTTGGTTTATGTAAACAAAACACGTATACATGTTATTAGATAGTTATCTATCTGACATATTTTTATCAAAAAGTTATGATTGCTTGCTGCCAAAATATTGATGGTAATACAGACTAATGGCTTTATTACTCGAACATTTACATTAAGAGAAAAAAAATATTCAGCGCAGATATTCAGGACAAACACACTATGCTAGTAATTATTAGTGACATTCACTTTTCTGCTTCGTAAATTACCAGTTGTCTGATAAGTAACGCGTATCGGTAATATTTCAGGTGAAAATGTCTTATGTAAACATTTATGTTGAGATCTGAATGTGTTACGTGCTAACTCACAAAGCGAGAGAGAAGGAAATAGTGACAGAGAAATTCTATTGAGCTACCGCATAACATGCATAAACGCTTATCTATTTGTACACATTTCTGCCCCTTGGAAAAACAATCCACTCCTCGATCAATGATATGCATTTGTTCCTTAGATTTCCGATTGTGATCAAATGACCTGCTTTGGATAATTCTAACTGACTCACTATATCATAATTAATAGTTAGTCATTTGGTTGCTAACTACCTTTTGATACTGTCTTAAAATTTAAGGGCTTCATAGTGCTTGGAATTGTCAATTTAATCAACCCAGTTAGGCACTATAGTAATATGCACTTTTAACAATTTAACAGTTGATAGCCATAAAATAAAAACTATTGGACTTCTAAGAATCTTATGATACACACTTGAAGACTTAACGTTGAGAATGTCACCTATCACGGTACGCTGAGAAAAAATTCACATAGATGGAAAAAATATTTGTTATTTAATTGAAGGTCTACGGTACTATGAAAAGATTTTGTGAAATTTATTACATGTCTAAAATATTTTCAAAATAGAAAGGATTTAATCATAGAAAACCTCGAAATCCGACTAAAAAATGATATGTTCAACAGTAATCCTAGGTTCATATTGTTCACTTAACGTTGGCAATGGCTAACAAAGGAGTTAAATCGTTGACGAAAGTGGCTAGTACTACAGGCACAAAGATGCCGAATTCACTAGGCTACCGTGATGGTTTGTGTAGAACTTGATAGATTATGGACCCAGGACGATTAGACTGAGGCATGTGATGAGTTTTCAGACTCCTCAACTATTAGTCTGACACATTTTCATGTAACACGGCTTGAAGCACCTGTGCGGCTACTATCGGTGGTCCAAAGCACGGAAAAAGGAGGGTTGGGCATGGGGTTAGTGACCCCATCCCGTAAAAAACTAACTCACTAAAAAAACGCCAACCAGAACAAATAATTCAAACCATTTAAACTTGTCTACGTAAGTTGGAGGGTTTTAACTTAAAGGGTTATGACACCTGACGACGAAAGCCGAGTTCCCTCGGAAGTCACGAGGTCGATGCTCCTTCTCACAACTACAACGACCATTCTTTTAGGTACATGGTATGTTCGGACAATAAAGGGGGACATGGAGACTGATCCAAATTGCTGCAGAGATGAAGAAATACAACATGGTGGTGCTTGGAATCAGTGAAACGCATTTGACACAGGTTGGAAAACTAAGACTAGCTTTTATACTCCGACCATGAAGAAGAAAACGCCTCATACACACAAGGAGTTGCACTGATGCTGTCCAAACATGCACAAAAGGCACTGATAGGATGGGAATACCATGGACCCAGGATCATCAAAGCATCCTTCAAAACAAAGCAAGAGGGCAGTACCATGAACCTCATCCAATCTTATGCACCTACCAATGAATACAATGACGACGTTAAAGATCAATTCTACGAAAGGTTGCAGTCAATCGTCGAGAAATGTTCACCAAAGGATTTGACCATTCTTATGGGAGACCTGAATGCCAAGGTTGACATGGACAACACTGGATATGAAGACATCATGGAACGACATGGACTGGGAGAAAGGAACGAAAACGGTGAGAGATTCGCAAACCTATGTGCCTTCAACAAACTGGTCATCTGTGGCACAATATTCCCGCACAAACGCATTCACAAAGCCACATGGATTTCACCGGACCACACTACTCAAAACCAAATTGACCATATCTGTATCAACAAAACGTTCAGAAGGACCATGCAGGATGTGAGAACCAAGAGAGGAGCTGACATAGCCTCAGATTATTACTTGCTGGTCGCCTAAATGGAAATGAAACTAAAGAAGCACTGGACAACGGAGCAGACAACATCACAAAAGTCTGATACGGCCTTTCTTCGAGATACCGGGAAGCTCAACGAACTTAAGATAGTCCTCAAAAATGGGTTCCAGGCTTTTCACGATCTACTCAGTGGAGAGGAAACAACTATGAAGAACAACTGGAATGGGATCAAGGAGGCAATCACTTCAACACGTCGGGAGGTTCTGGGCCACAAAAGTATCATCACAAGTAATGGATCTCTGTAGGTATCCTTTGAAAAATTTCAAGAATCGAGGAACAAGGATGCAGCAATCAACATCAGCCGAACAAGAACATTGAGAGCAAAGGTATAGGCTGAATAAACTTGGTTTAACGAAGTTCCGAATTGTTTGCAATCAGCCACACAATAGCACATAAGAGAGAAATTTTAAGCGATCAAGATATCCAAAAATTGGATGCTATTCAAGACTTGACTCCAAAAATCGAATGGTATCTATAGGATGGTTTCACGTCATAGTGAAAAAGTGACTAGAATTTCACTTTTCAGCCTTGTAAATCTTTTCAATATATAACTTTCCAACCTAAGGAAACACCGATTAGTCAGCATTGCGGTTTTGGAGGGAGGTAGATGACTGCACAAATACTTAAAGTACTACCCTCCATGGGGAACATGAAGCACCTACAGTTTGTCAAGCCTCGTGATAATCGCCAACACTTTGTGAAACCATGTATTAGGAATCTACCACGAACAGTCAAAGATAGACAACAGGTTAGGCAGGTTGATTGGTGGAGTACCACGATCTAGAAGAATTTAAAAAACTATAATTAGAGAACATTCCAGCAGAATCAATGAACGAAGTTGTGACAGCTGCTGCAAAAATATTTCACATTCTGTTCAAAAAGATTTGAGATGAAGAACAAGTACCAACAGACTGGGAAGAAAGATGCCTGAACAAAATACCGAAGAAAGGTGACCTCAGCAGAACAGAATGAAGAACTTCGAAGACATCGAAATTCGAGATCAAAAGGCTGGATTTCGTAAGGATCGATTGTGTACCGACAGAATTGCAACATTGAGGATCAATGCGAAACAGTCAATTGAATGGAACTCACCACTCTAAATCAACTTCATTGACTACAAGAAAGCTTTCGATAACATGGACAGGACAACACTATTGAAGCTTTTTCGGCACTATCGCGTGCGTGAGAAGACAGTCAACAGCATACGAGATTCTTATGATGGATTAAACTACGAAATCGTACACGTAGAACAGCTAACAGACTCGTTCGAGGTGAAGACCGGTGTCAGGCAAGGTGGCCTACTCTCACCCTTTCTCTTTCTCCTGGTGATCGACTGGATTATGAAGACGTCGACATCTGGAGGGAAGCACGGTATCGACTGGACAGTTAGGACGCAGCTGGACGATCTGGACTTCGCAGATGATCTGGCTCTTCTATCGCACACGCAACAACAAATGCAAGAGAAGGCGACCAGTGTAGTGGCAGTAGGTCTCAACATGCATAACGGAAAAAGCAAGATTCTCCAATACAACATAACATGCACCAACCAAATCACACGTGCCGGAGATTTGGAAGATGCAGAAACCTTTACATGTCTGGCAGCACAATCGATGAGCACGATGGATCTTGTGCAGATGCGAAGGCGTGGATCGACAAAGCAAGGACAGCATTTATACAACTGAACAACATCTGGAACTCAAAACAACTTTCAACCAACACCAAAGTCAGAATTTTCAATACAAATGTCAAGACAGTTCTACTGTATAGGGTGGAAACTTGAAAGATTACCAAAGCCATCATCCAGAAGATACAAGTATTTATCAACAGCTGTCCACGCAAAATACTATGGATCCGTTGGCCAGATACTATCACCAACAGCCTACTGCGGGACAAAACAAACCAGATTCCAACGGAGGAGGAAATCAGGAAGAAGCGCTGGAAGTGGATAGGACACGCACTACGAAAAGCACCGAACTGCGTCACAAGACAAGCCCTCACATGGAACCCTCAAGGCAAAAGGAAAAGAGGAATGCCAAGGAACACATTACGCCGAGAAGTAGAGACAGACATAAGAAGAATGAACAAAAATTGGACGGAACTGGATTGGGAAGCCGAGGACAGAGTTGACTGGAGAAAGCTGGTCGGCGGCCTATGCTCGATTGGGGGTGACAGGCGTAAGTAAGTAATATTTACATGTACAGGTTTAGATTATAGTTGATACCCGTGGTTGGATAACTTAGTTGTCTAAAATCAGCCTTAGAGAAACGCGTACATAGACTCATTATTTTCCTATAAATGTTGAGCTTAGTATTACTGCACACGTTTCATTCTCTGATTTCATTTTGCTCCTATATAATTTTTGGTTTTGTTTTCTACTACTGTTGAAATTTTTCAAATATTTTCTACTATATTTGCTGATTCTATCTCATCATGTTGATAGTAAATGTAGTAATTTCTAACGATACAAAGGTGTATCAGATGTCGTAAATATTATTATCACTAATAAGAATAAGATGATTCTGTTGAGTAATACGATTTATTTTATTTCCACTGTAACAACATTCTGTGTTTACATAAGTATAAAAACGAAATTTAAAGAAGATTAGACAGAAATCTATATTTACCTCATATTCGAGTGAATCCTCTTCGCGAGGCTCGGTAGTGGTATACGGAACATCTAACAAATTTACAAGTTCATCGTTTTCATCTGAATGTATTGAATCATCTAATGTTACATCAGAATCATTGAGTTCTTCATCCATCAGCTAGATAAAAAAAAACTGAAGTTAAATTATTACACGTTCACATCATGATTACATTTTGTTAAAGTGAATTTGTCATACATGACATAAAACTTATTTGATTGTACCAGATAAAAGCCTATTAGGGTGAATTATACTGTTACTATTCTAAAGTTTTGGATTCCCATTTCAGTTTGGAGATGAGTCAAGTGTGAACTTAAAGGACAGGAGGGTAACTCGGTCATTACAATTTTGTAGTAGAAGTTCTCATCGCTATATAAATTAGTATCACAATTATATAGTTGAGAAATATATGCAAATACCAACATGTGAAAAAATACTGGAAAGTGCTAAAAAAACATAACTTCTCTGAACTAACTAGTGTACGACAACTCTAGAAGGCACTTTGTTAACAGACAGTTTTACATAACTGGTACATGACCTATGCATCAGGAGTTATTGAAACGGAAAAGTGGGAGGATTCGACTTTAATCAGTTGCAATTTGGAACTTCATAAGCGCATAGATCAATTTAAGTTGCCATACTCTATTGGCAGAGAGATGAAATTGTCACGCCAGATATCAAAGTAGACGAGAGAGACAATATTAGTGGTGGTTAAAAAAATTAAGGACCGAAAAAAAGATCCAGGCAAATATCGATAGGTGAAATGAAAAGTAAACTGAGCAATTCAGAAACTTGGAATTTGAGGTAACACAGAGTGGATGCACATGAGCCATTCCAAACTATTTTGGGCCATGTCATTCAGTCTTTAACAACCGGTTACGATTGTCTCGCAGACTCCGATCAGGTATTTTACACCTACTGACATGGTTCAGTCCAGTTGTCAGTGACTGTTACAGTCATTCAGTCAGGTGCAACGTAGAACTTCGTACGTAAGTACATCAGTTCATGTTGCCATAAGACAGCACAGAGATATAATTGTCAATTCAAATCCAATAGTAGAAGAGGTAGTAAAGGAAGTAGAAGTAATCGGAGAGGTTAGGATTAGAAGATATTCAAGAAATATGATTCAATTAGAAAAGTTTAGAAAGTCAAAACTAGAGGGGTTGAAGAATCCAGAAGATTAGGATTTGAGAGAACACAAAGAATAAATGCACCGGCGCCATTGCAAACGGTTTTGAGCCATGTCATTCAAGGTATCTAGCCATCGATCATTATCATCTCGCGGACCCCAACCAGGTAGTCGACAGCTACCGACATGGATAAGTCCACTCGTCAGTCACTTCATGGATTTCTGCCATGTTCTGGTCTGGCCCCCCTAACTTTCTTCCAACCGACTCCTACACTACAAACAAACAGTCGGTGGTTAGGCATACGCAGCACATGTCCCAACCACCTCAACTGATGAAGTTTCATTACTTCGTCTATTGATCTGCCATTCTTACCTAGCACCCGTTTCCTAATAACAGCGTTGCTCACTTCGGTGGCCCAGGATACACGAGCAATGCTTCGAAGACACCTATGATCAAAAACCTGTAACCTACGAATATCCTCTACTCTCACTGGCCATGTTTCACAGCCATAGAGTAAGACGGAGCGAACTACTGCACAGTATACTCGTACTTTAGTCAACGAACGGATATCTCGCCTACGCCATAAATGACGTAGGTTAGCAAAAGCCAATCGAGCCTTCTATATCTGTTCTGAGATTTCGTCAGTCACCAGGCCATCAGCACTAATGAGACTCCCAAGATAAGTGAAGCTGTCTACACGCTCGACTACTTCACTTCTTATCACTAGTTCAGGTAACGATGCAACCCAATCTTGAAGCAACATTTTGCATTTCGAGGGGGAAAACCGCATCCCGAACATGCTTGCATTGTTGCTTATGGTAGTCAGAAGACTGCATTTTGTCAGCGTCTTCACCGAACAGAACTATGTCGTTGGCATATTCTAAGTCAATAAGCGAGCCACCTGGTAATAGGTCTACTCCGAAAATTCAGACGAGGACAGGGATATTTCTAGGAGTATGTCTATGATAAAGTTAAACAAGAATGGAGAGAGTGGACATCCCTGACGGACATCACTTGAAGTAGAGAATTCCGGTGACACTTCGCCATAAGCTCTCACTCGACCAGTGGTGTTCGAGTAGAGAGCTTGTATGAGGTTAATGTACTTCTTTGGTACACCTTTCAATGACAGACACTTCCACAGAACCTCACAGCCCACTGAGTCGAATGCCGCCTTAAGGTTCAGAAAGACAACTATTGTAGGACGGCCTAAATGTGTGTCTGTGTTCCAGGACCTGTCTGAGTGTGAAGATGTGGTCTATACAACCACGTCCAGGTCGAAAACCAGATTGGTTTTCTCGAGTTTGCTCTTCGCGAGCTTTCGTTAAGCGTCGAAGTATTACTGATTCCAATATTTTAGATACTATATTGGTTAGACTTATTCCCCTGTGATTGTCACAAGAAGACTTTTGTCCTTTCTTATAGATTAGGACAATCAGTGATTGAGACCAGTCGGATGGGTATACGTCCAGTTCCCAGATTCTACCTAAGATCTCAGTCAACCTAACTGCTAAAACTGGACCACCATCCTTAAATAACTCAGGGGTCAGTCTATCAGGACCTGCAGCTCGCCCTCGCTTCAGATTTCCTAACGCTTTCTCAGCTTCGTAAAGCCAAGGAGGACTTACGTCGATTTGCCATTCAGGATGACTGGAGATCGTGGGTAACCGAAGAGTGGCTCGAGGCCAGTTGAACTGATTCCTAAAGTGTTTTGCCCATCGATCCAGTCTCCTGGATTGAGAATAAATAATAGTCCCACCATTTTCCGAGATAGTCTCACACTAGGATTTCTAATACCAGTTTCCTTGATAAGTCGGAAAAGTTGTCTACTGTTGCCTGTCACCGCTGCCTTTTCCATCGCTTTTGCCTTCGCCACCCACCACTGTTCACGGTCGTTACATAGGATTTTTATCAGCCTGCGCCTAAGCTGACTTCGTTCTTCATCATGTTCAGAGCCAGGTGGGATGAGTTTTCGGGCATCCATTAGTTCGGTGGATGCTACTGAGATCCAGGGCTTTATTCTAACCTTATGGTCAACCTTAATAGCAGATATCACTGCTGTTTCCACAGCCTTTTTGATATCATACCAACCTGCTTCCGGATTGGGATCGCTTACATGGTTGCCTAACTCACTTTCTAGTTGCTCCTGAAATATATTCTTAGCTTTATTATAATTAAGTAAAACCCTAAGAGGCTTTCTTACGGAGTCGTTCCTACGTCCAGTAAGCCTCAAACAAATACGCGCTCGCACTAGGGCATGATCTGAATCTAAACATGTGCACCAAAACGAGCGACGGTACTCTATCGAACCCCTCCATCGGTGGCTGATGGCGATGTGATCTAGTTGAGTCCAATGTTGAGACGATTTTGGAGGTCGCCAGGTCAACAGATGCTTTTCCTTATGCCTGAAGTTAGTGTTTGTTAAGAATAGGCGGTTATCTGAGCATACTTGCAACAGACGGTCACCATTGTCTGTTCTCTGAGCCGCGACACCATAACATCCACCTAGGTGTCTTTCATTTTCACTCAGTCTACCTACTTGAGCATTAAAGTCACCAACCATTATTACTACATCAGAGCGCCTAACTATTTGGACGAGGTCCGAAAGCTTTTTGTAAAACTCATCTTTAACCTTGTCTGAACTGCAGTCAGTGGGGGCATGGGCAGATATGACGAAGAGGCAACGGCGAGTGCCCCTATCTTTCCGAGTCCTAACTGTCCCGTTTAGTCGGACAGCGCACAAGCGACTATCTACTGGGATCCAGTCAAGGAGAGATTGTTCAGCTCTACGACTCAATGCTATGCCTACGCCAGCAAGAGCCCTGGAAGCAGCATCAGGGCTACCGGATACACGAACAGTAAATCGAGCTGCTTCTTTATTTTGACAAGGTGAAATCAGATTAATAATTTTAACAGGATCCTGTATGCACGTTTCCGAGATGCAGCATACATCGATTGAGCGAGATTCTAAAGTCCTAGCTAGTGAAGCCTGTTGCCCTATTTGATACGATGTCCGTACATTAGATGCTCCAACATGTAGTCTAGAGCGGGGTTTCAAGAGACCAGGAACGACGTTTCGCGAACTCGTGTCGTCTGCATTAGCTGTGCACTGTGATAAATGAATGTGAGAAGAGTTAGTCGTGGAGATAAGAGAGGTATTAGGGGTGTAGGAAGGATTTGATTTTGACAAATTTGGTCTCGCGTGCCGTTACAGGTATGAGGGCGATTGTCACTTCCCGGCTGCCCACACCGTGGAAGGTTGTTTCTTGAGGAACCTGAAAAGGAAAATAGATTAGTGTTGGTCTTAGAGACCTGGGTGCGTGACCGCAGAGCCCAAGGGACAACTGCTTGCGGGCGGTCACGCACGGCCTTTTTATGAAACGTTTATAGAGGATTAGCTCCGTTCTTAAAGGCCCTTAGTGGGCACCCTTACCGCTGTAGACGGAAATCCGTGAGTAAGGGGAGGTGTGACATTTTTAGGGTCGACCTTTCCTAACTCTTCCTTCCTTGTGAGAAGGCAGCATCGCTGCAGATGCTGGTTATCCGAGGGAAACACTTTACTGCTGTCACACCCCTCTGCAGTCAGCAGTACGACTTCGCCCTCAGACCTTGGGTAGCTGCTTTTAGTCTCATCGTTCTCCAATCGACCTGCCTGGCATGGTAGAACCTTCAGGAACATATGTTTCGGCCAGTATAGCTCGGTTGGGTCATCACGATAGGCAAGCCCGACCACCACGTCAAGGTAGCAGCTACGGTCGGGCGGATCTCAGTAGCATCCACCGAACTGATAGACGCTCGTAAACTCATCCTACCTGGCTCTGAACATGATGAAGAACGAAGTCAGCTTAGGCGCAGGCTGACAAATAGCCTACGCAATGATCGCAAACAGTGGTGGGTGCTGCTGGCCTCAACAATACTTCGACGCTTAACGTAAGCTCGTGAAGAGCAGACTAGAGAAAACCAGGCTGGTTTTCGACCTGGACGTGGTTGTATAGACCAGATATTCACACTACGTCAGGTCCTGGAACACAGACACACATTCGGACACCCTATAATGGCATTATATCTCGACCTTAAAGCGGAATTCGACCCTGTCAATCGTGAGGTTCTGTGGAAGTGTCTGTCATTGAAAGGTGTACCAAAGAAGTACATTAACCTCATACAAGCTCTCTACTCGAACATCATTGGTCGAGTGAAAGCTTATAGCTAATTTTCATCAGAACTGTTTACTTCAAGTAGTGTCCGTCAGGGATGTCCACTCTGCTGATTCTTGTTTAATTTTGTCGTAGATGCGCGTTAACAGTTAACATTATCATCGTCTGACTCTTCAGGAGCGGAAGTTTTACCAGAAGACACTCTTGCTGACAAAGTTCTACTTGGAGAAGACGCTGACAAAATGCAGTTTCTTCTGACTACCTTAAGCAACAATTCAAGCATGTTTGGGATGCGGCTATCCCCCTGGAAATCCAAAATGTTGCTTCAAGATTGGGTTGCATCGGCACCTGAACTAGTGATAGGGAGTGAAGTAGTCAAATGTGTAGACCGCTCCACTTATCTTTGGAGTCTCATCAGTGTTGATGGCCTGGTGAAGAGGAAAATGCTTCAAATACATAAGGAGTTGCACTGATGCTGTCCAAACATGCACAAAAGGCACTGATAGGATGGGAATACCATGGACCCAGGATCATCAAAGCATCCTTCAAAACAAAGCAAGAGGGCAGTACCATGAACGTCATCCAATCTTATGCACCTACCAATGACTACAATGACGACGTTAATGATCAATTCTACGAAAGGTTGCAGTCAATCGTCGAGAAATGTTCACCAAAGGATTTGACCATTCTTATGGGAGACCTGAATGCCAAGGTTGACATGGACAACACTGGATATGAAGACATCATGGAACGACATGGACTGGGAGAAAGGAACGAAAACGGTGAGAGATTCGCAAACCTATGTGCCTTCAACAAACTGGTCATCTGTGGCACAATATTCCCGCACAAACGCATTCACAAAGCCACATGGATTTCACCGGACCACACTACTCAAAACCAAATTGACCATATCTGTATCAACAAAACGTTCAGAAGGACCATGGAGGATGTGAGAACCAAGAGAGGAGCTGACATAGCCTCAGATTATTACTTGCTGATCGCCTAAATGAAACTGAAACTAAAGAAGCACTGGACAACGGAGCAGACAACATCACACAAGTTTAATACGGCCTTTCTTCGGGATACCGTAAAACTCAATGAATTCAAGATAGCCCTCTCCAATAGGTTCCAGGCCTTTCATGATCTACTCAATGGAGAGAACGCAACATTAGAGAACAATTGGAAAGGGATTAAGGAGGCAATCAGTTCAACATGTCGGGAGGTCCTTGGTCGCAAGAAGCACCATCACAAGGAATGGATCTCTGTTGGTACTCTTGAAAAAATTTAAGAAATGAGGAACAAGAAGGCAGCAGTGAATGCCAGCCGAACAAGAGCAGAGAAAGTTACCGAACAAGCTGCATACACAGAAGCAAACAGGGAAGTGAAGAAGAGCATCAGAGCTGACAAAAGAAAATATGTGGAAGATCTAGCAATGACGGCGGAAAAGGCTGCAAGAGACGGAGACTTGAGACAATTGTACGAAACAACAAAGAAGCTCGCTGGAAACTATTGTAAACCAGAACGACCAGTGAAAAGCAATGAAGGAAAAGTAATCAGCAACACTGAACAACAGCGAAATAGGTGGGTAGAGAACTTTAAGGAACTCTTGAATCGACCAGCACCACTGAACACACCCAACATCGAAGCAGCATCCACGGACCTCCCAATTAATATTGATGAACCTACGATTGAGGAGATCAGTATGGCCATCAAACAAATCAAGAGCGGCAAAGCAGCAGGACCAAACAACATTAAAGCAGAGGCAATGAAACCAGATATAGAAGCAACTGCGAAAATATTTCACATCCTCTTCAAGAAGATTTGGGATGAGGAACAAGTACCATCAAACATTGGATACCTGATCAAAATACCAAAGAAAGGCGATCTCAGCAAGTGTGAGAACTACAGAGGCATCACTCTTCTTTCAACATCAGGCAAGGTCTTCAACAGGGTATTGATAAACAGAATGAAGGACTTCGTAGACGCCCAACTTCGAGATCAACAGGCTGGATTTCGTAAGGATCGATTGTGTACTGACCAAATTGCTACATTACGGATCATTGTGGAATAATCAATTGAATGGAACTCACCACTCTAAATCAAATTCATCGACTACGAGAAAGCATTCGATAGCGTGGATAGGAAAACACTGTGGAGGCTTCTTCGACACTACGGTGTGCCTGAGAAAATAGTCAACATCATACGGAATTCTTATGATGGATTCAACTACAAAATCGTACACGGAGAACAGCTAACAGACTCGTTCGAGGTGAAGACCGGTGTCAGGCAAGGTGGCCTACTCTCACCCTTTCTCTTTCTCCTGGTGATCGACTGGATTATGAAGACGTCGACATCTGGAGGGAAGCACGGTATCGAATGGACAGTTAGGACGCAGCTGGACGATCTGGACTTCGCAGATGATCTGGCTCTTCTATCGTTAACACCTTTACATATCTGGGCCGCATCATCGACAATCAAGGTGGATCCGATGCAAATGAGAGGGCGCGGATTGGAAAAGCAAGGACTGCATTTCTACAGTTGAAAAATATCTGGAACTCCAAACAACTTTCAACCGACACCAAAATCAGGATTTTCAATACAAATGTCAAGACAGTTCTACTGTATGGAGCGGAAACCTGGAGAACTACGAAAGCCATCATCCAGGAGATACAAGTATTTATCAACAGCTGTCCACGCAAAATACTATGGATCCGTTGGCCAGATACTATCACCAACAGCCTACTGCGGGACAAAACAAACCAGATTCCAACGGAGGAGGAAATCAGGAAGAAGCGCTGGAAGTGGATAGGACACGCACTACGAAAAGCACCGAACTGCGTCACAAGACAAGCCCTCACATGGAACCCTCAAGGCAAAAGGAAAAGAGGAATGCCAAGGAACACATTACGCCGAGAAGTAGAGACAGACATGAGAAGAATGAACAAAAATTGGACGGAACTGGAATGGCAAACCGAGGACAGAGTTGGTTGGAGAGAACTGGTGGGCGGTCTATGCTCTATTGGGGGTAACAGGCGTAAGTAGTAAGTTACGAATGTCCAACCACAACCGACTGCCTCGACAAACTATGTTTTGTGGTGTAGGAGTAGGCTGGCAAAAAGCAAGGGGTGGCCAAACAAAAACATAGCGCAAATTCACGAAGTTACTGACAAGTGGACTGAGACATGTTGGTAGGTTACGAGAGATGACATATATTATATTATATATAATAAGAAACTATTGTTGCTCAGATATCACAAATTTCTACATATTCACACATTTAAATCAGTGAAACTTTGTGTGAAGGTTTGCTATAATTAGGTTGTAACAGAATTCGAACCTGCAGCCTAAATGAAAGATTAATGCTCTGTCCGTATGTAGAGGATTAGCTAGCTTCATATCTGGTAAGTGGGATGAAAAATACTATAGTGGGGGCAAGAGGTCTGCTTACATGAATCGTATATACCAAAGGGGGGCATTTTATATATACATTAGCAATAGAACCACTTAGATGTGAAAGAGCACCAAACATAATTCAGCCTATTCAAGTGGTGGTAAGAGAAGTGAATAAAGAATAGTATTTGGAAGTGATTTTTAAGAGAATATGCAGTCAAACATTATAAACTGTGTACAAACAAAAAGAATCCTACTCTAATCGGTAGCAATTTGAACTTACCGGGATGGCTGCAACCCACAGGTTTGAATGCCACTGGAAGCAACAAAGAGTTCCTGAGAGTAGTACTCCAACAACCAATATCTTTTTTTCACGAGCTAGTACGAACCAGTTGATCTCTTGGATCTCGATTCTTGTTCTTGCGATACGGTTCCAGGTGTTTGGTGGTATCTGATGGATGGAGCTCTAGTAACTTGATTGCCTAATACTAGTTAGTTGGCAGTTGATTGGGAGTTCGTATGTCCCGTAATTTGAATGAATACGTTTGTTTCAAGTCAGTAGGATTTCGGAGTATCATATTACAATGTTAGAGATCAGTTAGTTTCAATGTGGAGCATAATAGAGGGAAAAGTCTAATGGTAATAACAATAAGATTTCAGAACTAAGAAGACAAATGGATAATTTAGTCTATTAATTGGTAGTGAAGACTGTACGATAGGACCGAAGTGTAAGCAAGGTGGAGGAAAGAGATATAATAAGCTAGATAGATTCAGTAAATGATCTGAGGAGATGGCAATAATAGCAACTAGTAAGTCTCAAGACATGTATCGGGCGGAGCTGGTCCACGCGGGAGATTATAATCAGAATATGAGTACGTGTTTATCAAGTCTCTTCTTAAAGCTGTCCACAAGGGGGGCTGTGGTCACCTCGGATGGGAGAGTATTCCAGGTTGCAACGACTCTTAGTGATAAAAAGTGTACAAGACCCTGACTGTTCGCTTTTTGATGCGTCCTTTATCGAGGATTATATTGAGGGGCATGGTGGTGATGCATCAGTAAGGTACTCATGTTGGGCTGGTTTAGGGAGCTAAGTATGCTGTCGCCTTAATCAGATCAACTTTGATTCTCCTGTACTTGTTCAAATCACTATGTAGAAATTATCCGCGATCATTTCATGCTCCATTTAACATGTTATTCAAATATCAAAGCTTGTAATTTCGTTGTCTTTCCGTTCACCGATTGAATAGAAACTTTCTGCGAAATTTCTTTCAGTTTCGATTTAACGCATTCATAACAATTTATTACTTACTTACGCCTGTCACCCCTAATCGAGCATAGGCCGCCGACCAGCTTTCTCCAGTCAACTCTGTCCTCGGCTTCCCAATCCAGTTCCGTCCAATTTTTGTTCATTCTTCTCATGTCTGTCTCTACTTCTCGGCGTAATGTGTTCCTTGGCATTCCTCTTTTCCTTTTGCCTTGAGGGTTCCATGTGAGGGCTTGTCTTGTGACGCAGTTCGGTGCTTTTCGTAGTGCGTGTCCTATCCACTTCCAGCGCTTCTTCCTGATTTCCTCCTCCGTTGGAATCTGGTTTGTTTTGTCCCGCAGTAGGCTGTTGGTGATAGTATCTGGCCAACGGATCCATAGTATTTTGCGTGGACAGCTGTTGATAAATACTTGTATCTTCTGGATGATGGCTTTGGTAATCTTTCAAGTTTCCACCCTATACAGTAGAACTGTCTTGACATTTGTATTGAAAATTCTGACTTTGGTGTTGGTTGAAAGTTGTTTTGAGTTCCAGATGTTGTTCAGTTGTATAAATGCTGTCCTTGCTTTGTCGATCCACGCCTTCGCATCTGCACAAGATCCATCGTGCTCATCGATTGTGCTGCCAGACATGTAAAGGTTTCTGCATCTTCCAAATCTCCGGCACGTGTGATTTGGTTGGTGCATGTTATGTTGTATTGGAGAATCTTGCTTTTTCCGTTATGCATGTTGAGACCTACTGCCACTACACTGGTCGCCTTCTCTTGCATTTGTTGTTGCGTGTGCGATAGAAGAGCCAGATCATCTGCGAAGTCCAGATCGTCCAGCTGCGTCCTAACTGTCCAGTCGATACCGTGCTTCCCTCCAGATGTCGACGTCTTCATAATCCAGTCGATCACCAGGAGAAAGAGAAAGGGTGAGAGTAGGCCACCTTGCCTGACACCGGTCTTCACCTCGAACGAGTCTGTTAGCTGTTCTACGTGTACGATTTCGTAGTTTAATCCATCATAAGAATCTCGTATGCTGTTGACTGTCTTCTCACGCACGCGATAGTGCCGAAAAAGCTTCAATAGTGTTGTCCTGTCCATGTTATCGAAAGCTTTCTTGTAGTCAATGAAGTTGATTTAGAGTGGTGAGTTCCATTCAATTGACTGTTTCGCATTGATCCTCAATGTTGCAATTCTGTCGGTACACAATCGATCCTTACGAAATCCAGCCTTTTGATCTCGAATTTCGATGTCTTCGAAGTTCTTCATTCTGTTCTGCTGAGGTCACCTTTCTTCGGTATTTTGTTCAGGCATCTTTCTTCCCAGTCTGTTGGTACTTGTTCTTCATCTCAAATCTTTTTGAACAGAATGTGAAATATTTTTGCAGCAGCTGTCACAACTTCGTTCCTTGATTCTACCGGAATGTTGTCTGGCCATGCTGCTTTGCCGCTTTCGATTTGTCTGATGGCCACACTGATCTCCCCGGTTGTTTGTGGGTCATTATTTACTGACAGAGCCGTGGGTGTGGCTTCGATGTTAGATGAGTTCGTGGGATCTGGTCGATTCTTTAAAGTGCTCTAACCTCGTGATTCGATGTTCATCAATGTCGGTGGGAGTCATTTAGAATAATAATTACAGTAAAATTTACTTTTAATCACGTGTTACACGAGGCATGCCAATTTTAGGTTGAATCAAAATATTACTTTTGCGAACAGATTTGCTGTAATAGGTTACTCGGTTTTTTTGTGAATTCCACTCTTCGTTGCCATTAGAGGGAGGTATTTATAGCATAAATTTGGAGATTCTGAAAAGAATGGAACGTACAATACAATTGTTTAAGCCTATCATGTCCGTTACATTGAGACGGACGATTGACGTTAGATTACTGAACGTAAACGAAATAAATGATAGCTATATTATTTCGTCTTTTTTCGATTGGAAGTTTTTAGGACTGTGTAAATAATGATTATAGGGGGTTCTGACGATCTCTAAAATTGTATTGGTTGGTAAGCTAAGTCATCTTCCACAATATTTCACAATGAGGCTTATAGGGAATGAGTTCTGTGAAAAACCTTTGTCAAAAATTGTTGACCAATGATCGCTGTTGTACGTATTATAAGTAGACTTCGATATTGTTAGGGCAGAATGGCATGAGTTGCATGGCTGGATATGTCGAAGTTTGAGTCGAAAAAGTATAGGAACATTTTGAATTAATAAGCATAAAAATGACTTGAGAATGCAGAAACAATGTTATAAAATGCAACGAACTATGTAGTTTTCTACGGCAAAGAATAAACCCACTCGTTATCATCTGATGTAACAAACTACTTCAGGACCATCCGTCGGTCTAACTAGAAACCAGGAGTGTAGGGGTTCAGATGTAAAAGTGGGAGACAGACGATGTGTTGAGGAGTACATTATTTGAGCTACCTAGTAGTTGTGAGGGACGAGTAGTGCAGAGTACCTAATGACTAGATAATTAGGGTGCTAGATCACACAGTTTCGCCTAGGGTTTGTTCATTGCAAATAATGAGGTCCGCATAAATTTCAAGAGGTGACAAAAGTAATTACCTATGGATATACTTATGATTACACAACGTAAGTATTTTAAGCCAACGCAGACTTTTCACGAGCACTAAACAGGGAAGGGCAAACGATATGACGAGTTTTTTTATAGAAAATCAAAGGAGACAATTTGAACTCTAATCAAACGCGGTTCGCTGATGAATTACAGAGTGCTCAAATGAGAGGTTTAATTCAGCGGAACTGAACTAGTAAATTCTGGAACACGACAACTTTCAAGCTAACTTGTTAACCTCAGTGTCATATTACTTTGAAGTTGTGGTCCTTTAAATCTACCCCGTACTTTGTCAAAAAAATGACTATACAGAATTAACAGGCAATCAAACAAATAGTTTAAATCGATCTTGAGCCGTAATAGGGTGACATTCCTTTAGTCAAAAAGGGGTGCCCAATGACTTATTATCATGATAAATTCTATACTATTAAGCCTAGTTGGCAGGTTTTATGGATGATCGTAACTTTGCACCTTGAGTACTGACCGAATTGATATGGAAAGTAAGCCCGAAGCCCCTCCGAGGCTACTACCGTTCTTGGATAAAGGAGCACGGTTGAGTACAGAGTTTACAACTCAATTCTGTAGGATAACGACTAACTAAAAAACGCCAACCAGAACAAATAAATCAAACCAGTTAAACTTGTCTACGTAAGTTGGAGGGTTTTAACTTAAAGGGTTATGACATCTGACGACGAAAGCCGAGTTCCCTCGGAAGTCACGAGGTCGATGCTCCTTCTCACAACTACAATGACCATTCTTTTAGGTACATGGTATGTTCAGACAATAAAGGGGGACATGGAGACTGATCCAAATTGCTGCAGAGATGAAAAAATACAACATGGTGGTGCTTGGAATCAGTGAAACGCATTTGACACAGGTTGGAAAACTAAGACTAGCTTTTATACTCCGACCACAAGGAGTTGCACTGATGCTGCTCAGACAAACACAGAAGGCACTAACAGAATGGGAATCTCATGTACCGAGGATCATCAAAGCATCCTTCAAAACAAAGCAAGAGGGTAGTACAATGAACGTCATCCAATCTTATGCATCTACCAATGAATACAATGACGACATTAAAGATCAATTCTACGAAAGGTTGCAGTCAATCGTCGAGAAATGTTCACCAAAGGATTTGACCATTCTTATGGGAGACCTGAATGCCAAGGTTGACATGGACAACATTGGATATGAAGACATCATGGAACGACATGGAGTGGGAGAAGGGAAGGAAAATGGTGAGAGATTTTCAAATCTATGTGCCCTCAATGAAATATTTGGGAAGAAGAACAGGTACCAACAGAGTGTAAAGGAGGATATCTCGTCCAGAAAACAAATAAAGCAGATCTCAGGCAGTGTGAGAACTACAAAGACACCTCTCTACATTTAACATCAAGAAAAGTCCTGAACAGAGTGTTATTGTACAGCAGACGCATAACTTAAAATCAGGAGTTTGGATTCCGCAAGG